ATAGTAAGCAGCAAGAAGCAGAACTGTAACAGTGGAAACTGGAAGCTGCAACTGGCACAGGAAACTGCGAAGCTTCGTCCTACAGCCTGGTGGCCCCACAAGGGGGCCAGCGGATTTTCCCACTAATGTTCGCCGCGCTGGAGAATGCTGGGGGGTTTTCCTCCCAGCGAATAACGATCTCTGGGGTACCATGCACGACAGAGGGATTGTGAGCATGTTTGTAAGAGGATATGACGACATAGATCGACACATTATTTAATCGCTTCGCTCATTCCGCTAGCCTTGGAGCCCTCTTTAGGCCTCTTGGGGGCCTTTTGGGGACCTCTTGGGAGTCTCTTGGGGCTCCTTGGCGGCGTCTTGGGGGCCCCCAGGGCCTCTTGGAGGGCTCTTGGGGGCCTCTTGGGGCAGGAGGGGGGGTAGTCGATTGCGGCCCCCCTTCAGAGGCCACGATCCTCGTGAGGGGTGTCGAAAAATTGTCCGATCCGGCATCTCTGACCCGACCCTGCCGGGACCCTCCCGGGACTTGCCCGGGGTACTTTTCGCCCAGGGACCCCCAGGGGCCGCCCCGCGCGCGCGAACTAGAAATATTGTTAACCAGTTCCCGGAGATCTTAGCACGCCTCTGGCCCGTTGGGCCGGCGAATTCTCCGAAGCCGTTGCTCAACATCTACAACTCGTTGTAATCGTAGGCGTAGCCGTGTTCGTATCGTGTTCGTTGTCGTAATCGTAGTCGTCGTCGTCGTCGTCGTCGTCGTCTTGTCGTCATTGTTGTGCGGCGAGTGCCGCGAAGAAATACTTCGTTTCCAACAATAGTGGGGCCCCAGTCAGTCAGCAAGGTCGCGGAAAAGATATTAGCTTCAACTATTTGGGGGGTTCGAATGACCTATCCTGGTCATTCTCGGCGGCGTCCAGGGCTGCCGCCGTCGCGTTGGCCGCTCCCCCCACATGCGCGCGCGCGCGAGCGCGGGGGTGGAGCTAGGACCGCTAGGATAAGGACAGAGGGCGTTTGTGGCCTGTGTTCGACAGTTTGGGGGATGTTTGGGTCGTTGTCGAAGGGGGAGGAGGTTCTCGCTGAGTCTTGGAGATGTTCTCGCTTCGGAATGCTGTCTAGCAACTGCTCCTCGTCGCGAGCTTTCCCCGAGTACCCCGACGGAGGCCCGAGCTATGAGCCGAAAGCCACAGGCGCCGAAGTCAACAAAAACACTCGAGATGATGTGGCAGTCCCGGCGATGGGGTCGAGAGCCCCACTGGACCAGACATCGACTCGAATGGCTCGGACCGTCAGGGAGCCGGTGAGGCATGATCGTGGCCTCGCTCGGACGTCGGCCCCTTTTTGTTCGGCGAGGACCATCGAGGAGCATCAGGGATCATCTGGTGAAAAGATAAAGACGCACGAAACCGAACAATGCAGCGGGGAATGGGCGTCCGAGCGATGGCAGGTGCCTGTCAGGAGGGAAAGAAACACACAGACACAATTAATCAACGATTCCCAGAAAATATGCGAAAATATGGGAAGTGGGGGGGAAGACAGAAACCCAGAAAATAAGGGAAAATATGGGCAATCTTTTTATTTGTGTGTATTTATTTGTGTGTCCTGGGGCCCCTTCAGCCTGGACCAGCCGGGGCGAGCGCTGCCCGCGCGCGGCCGCACGCCCGCCCGGCGCGCCTCGGCCCTCCGGTGGCCCAAGAGGGGCACGGCGGGCCTCCTCGTTGCGGAGCCGGCGCGTGGCCTCCGCCGTGCGCGGTGGGAGTCCGGCCGTGCGCGTGAGCGTGTGTGTCTGCGTGTGTCTGCGTGTGTCTGCGTGTGTCTGCGTGTGTGTCTGTGTGCCTGTGGTCTCTGTGTCTCTGTGCCCGTGTGTCCGTGTGTCCGTGTGTCCGTGTCTGTGTGTCTGTGTGTCTGTCTGTCCGTGTGTGTCTGTGTGTGTCTCTGTGTGTGTCTCTGTGTGTGTCTCTGGGTGTTTGCGTGCGTGCGTGCGTGGCCATGTGGGCGGCGACAAAGGTCGGGCCGATGTCGCGGAGGTTCGCTGTCGCTTGCGCGGATGTGCCGAGCACATTTGTGCGCAAGATCCCCGTCGCCTTCCGGAACCCCCGAGGTTTTTGGCGTCAAGGAAAAAGGTCTCCACTGGCTGTCTTGGTTGCGTGGCATTTCATCCTGACTGCTTTGGCTGACGGCCCCTGGGATGGGTAAGAGCCCCAGAGGCAGAGCGCCGCAGAATACGCCCGTCGTAATTCTGATCGCGACGCGGGCTGGGGGTGGGTCTTCGCGGAGGTGAAGGTCTGGAAGGTGGGGATCTCGCCCGCCTGTTATCAAGGAGCCACAGACCGTCGGATGGCAGACACTCCGATTGCCTCGAGATTCCGAAGACCTCGGACGGTCCCAAAGCAGCTCGCACGACGAATGACATCGCGACGGCCTGGTTTTCATCGATCCCGGCCTCGGGGCCTTGCTTCGGGCCACCGGGCCGTAAAAGAAGCAGGTGGAGCACGTCCGCGGGGAGCGGACGAGAGCTCCAGGGTGCAAATGTCATGGGAGCGTCGTCACGTCGGAGGTCTGGGGCTCTATGGGGCCTTGGGGGGCCCCATGCACTCGAGACGCTCTTGGAGGGAACGACCCATGCAGGTCCCCCAACGACCCGCCTCACCCCGAACCACCTCCGAGTGGTGGATCGACTCAGAATTGACTACGGAGTCGATCTACCCCAGAAATGATTTTCCGTCGAATCTGCGAACGAATGCGTGCATGCTCTACAGTGTATGCTGCGTATTTGTTCGCAGCCTCGACGAACACATCAATTTGGGGGTGAATCAATTCTGTAGCCGATCCCCTACTTGACACCTGTGAACCAGGCGGTGTGAGTGGTCACATGACCGCTTGAGGACCCCTTTGGTCAGGCCGTTGCCGTGGCCGCCGGCAGCGGCCTCGCCTCGGTTGCCGTCGTGACCGGTGCCTCCCCCGCTGGCCCCGCCCTTCCTCGAGGGCGGCCAACAGGGGGCGGGATGACCAAGGGGGGGGGGGGATCTCGTGCCTGGGGCCATGACAACTTCCCAGATCGCATGGCGCCTCGTCCTATTTCAACACGTCCCCGGCCCCACCCTGGGCCGCGCACATGCTGGCCATGATTTGGCGCCCCCCCCCCCCCCCTCTTGGACGCCCCTTGGACGCCCCCCTCCTGGGCGCCCCCGACTCCCGCACCACTCAGGGGCAACGACAGGGAGGGGGATAGGCATAGGGGGGGGTGCGCATCGACCCCCCATGGCCCATGGATCGCCGAGAGGGGCCCGATGGCCCCATCCTGTCCAGGAGCCTGCGGGGGCCCATCGCCGGTCTCTCGGCGATGCATCGCCGATTCCAGGGCGATGCTACCCCCGTGCGCCAGTCTCCCCCTTGTCGTTGCCAGGCCCCTCCTGTCGTTGCCCCACCCCGGGCCGCGCACATGCCGCCGGTCATGATCTGCGCCACCTCCTCCTGGACGCCCCCTCTTGGATCGGTGGTTCTGGGATGGGGTCCTGAGCGATGGGGTCCTAAGGATAGAAAAGGATCCGAGGGTGGATTCACATTGTTTGACGCACCTCGTCCGTAGGACACCATCCCTCAGGACCCCATCTTTGAACCCAGGCGGCCCAAGACCCCCACCCTGGCCCTACGATGGCCCGAACGGCCGCCGGGACAGCCCACGAGGGCCCACGAGAGCCTTGGCGACGGGCCCACGCGTCGAAACATCAAACAAAAGCCATGCATGGCCCGAGGTTTTCCACGTTCTACCGATTGGGCGCCCCCGCCTACCCCCTTCCTCCTCCTGGGGTCCGTTTCTGACCGGAATCTCGAGGGGAATCCATCAGTGGCGACGGAGTTGCCCCTGGAGGCCATACAAATGCCAAACCGTCTTGAAACATCGACCCTCGATCCTCCAAGCTCGATCCCCTTCCTCTTCCTCCTCCTCCTCCTCCTCCTCCTCCTCCTCCTCCTCCTCTCCTTCTCCTCCTCCTCCTCCTCCTCCTCCTCCTCCTCCTCCTCCTCCTCCTCCTCTCCTTCTCCTGCTCCTCCCGCCTCGGGCTTCTCGGCCTGCGGCGAGCTGGGGCCCCACCAAGCGGTCGAGACGACGGCGGGACGCCTCCGTGGCGGAGCGAGGCGCGGGGGCGCAGGCCTGCGGAGGGCGTGGAGACCCGACGGCGAAGAGGTCGCCTTCCCAGTTTCCTCCTGCTCTCTCCTCGCTCGCCCCCCTTCCTCCTCTATCCTGCTCCCTTCTCCTCCTCCTCCTCCTCCTCCTCCTCGTCCTCCTCCACCTCCTCCCTCCTCCTACTGCTCCTACCTCCTCCTCCTCCTCCTCCTCCTCCTCCTCCGCCTCCTCCTCCTCCTCCTCCTCCCCCTCCCCCCTCCTCCTCCTCCTCCTCCTCCTCCTTCCTTCTCCTCCTCCTCCTCACTCCTCCCTCCCTCCCCCCCGCTTCCTTCTCCTCCTCCTCCTCCTCCTCCTCCTCCTCCTTCTCCTCCTCCTCCTCTCCTTCCTTTTCCCTGCTCGCTCTGAGGATGAGTAGTGCTGATTGCTCGCTCTGAGGATGAGTAGTGCTGATTGAGCGGCGTCTGGCCGTCGGTGATACATGTGTGCGCCTTGCCATTGTTATCCACGCACCGCCTAGGTGTCTGATGTGCCGTCTGTGTTCGTTCCCGCCGTGTCGAGTGTTTTTTTGGGTGCGTGCCCTGTCGCCAGGGCCTAGTTGGGCTGCCCCCCTCCCCGCCTGGGTGCTCAGGAAGCTCTGTCCTGATGGGTCCATCCCCCCTTTGTGGCGCGCTTGTGGTGGAGAAGGTTTCGGCGGCGAGCCAAGGGGGGGAAATGAGAAGGGGCGACCCTTCTCAGAAGGCTCAGAACCGGCCTTCTGCGAAGTTGTCGAAGCCCTCCCCGAAGACACAGAGAAAAACAAACAACTTCTCAGAGGGCGCGAGGGCGTCCCTGAGAAGCTCCGCCGCCTTCTGAGAAGGCCGTCTTTTTCTCACTCCCCCCCCCAATCGCGCCCTGGGGGGGGCATGTGCTCAAGGCTGCAGCACTGCTCAACGATGTGCTGCCAACCAAGCCTGCAGGGTGGGCCCTTTCCATTTCTGTGCACTTCAGCTCTGGCTTCGGCCTCAGCTGCCGATGCACCGTGATGCGCCCTCGGGCCAGCTCGCCCGAGTCGGATCCTCCGCTCGCACGGGTGCTGCCCCCCCCCCCCGCTCGCCGCCGAGAGAAGGCAGGCCGCGTGACGGCCGGCGGACCCTCAGGTCGCGCAGAGGCCTGCAGGATGTGCTCCAGGCCTCGGAACAAATTAGCGAACACATGCCACATTCATCCGTCAACGCCTCCCCCTCCCCCCAATGTTCAAAGTTGGCGGTGGGTCTGATGAGATGCACTTCGACCGCAGTTTCCCCCGCGCGTGCCAACATTGAGTTTGGGGGGGAGGGGGGGGAGTGTTCAGTAATTGTTTCCCTCTACCGTCTCACGCCTCAGGGTCGCGCCGCGCCACGGAGCAGGGCAGGACGCGGGCCCCGGGACAGCCAGGGCGCGGGCGCGGGCCGCCGCGCCGGTCGGGCGGGTGGTGGCCCAGGGGGGGGGGGGAGAGGAAGGGGCCAGGGCCCCTTGTGGGCCCCTGCTGTGTCCAGGAGGGGCCCAACAGGGCCCCTCCAGGGCTCTCCTCTTCACCCCCCCCGAACTGGGTCCCCCCCTGTGACCACCCGCCCGAGCGGCCCCCCTGCCCCACGGCAGGAAAAGCAAGGGGCCCCCTCAGCGGCTCGCACGGCCGGGCGGCAGTTGTCCTGCAGGCCCGTTCCAGACTCAGGTCCAACTCGATGAGCGCGTTTCACTGCTCGCAAAGTGCCTACGCGCAGACGTCCACTAAACAAATGTTTGCCTCGATGCAGTGGAGCCTGTTTGCCTCGGGGTAATGGATTCAGGCCGTTTGCGAGTAGCTACTTTGCAGGTAGCGGAATGCGCTTGTCCACCAACCGCGCATCTGCTAGCCATGCGCAGAGGGGGTCGGGGGAGAGGGGAAGATGTCTTAGAAGGAGGCTGCTTCTTAGAAGGGGCGCGCGGGCCTTGTCTGTAGATGCAATGCCTTCGCCTTCTGAGAAGCAGCCTCTTTCTAGGAAGCCTTCCCCCCTCCCCCTGCCCCCCCCTCGTGCGCGCCGCCACACCTGGACCTGACCAGGTATGCTGCGAGCTGCAGGAGCAGCTCCCGTGGCGCAGTCTTCGAGTGCTCACGAGTTGCCTCTGGGAGGTCTTCTGCAAGCACGCCTGTGCTCCACAGGAGCGCCAGTGTTCGGACGGGACTGGGACGAGGATCAATCCGCTCCAGAGCGTTCTGGAACGCTCTCGGAGCGTTCGGGAATGTTTTGGGAAGGCCGCGGCGCCCGAGACATCCTCCAGAGCCGCAGGATCTCAGAGATTCCACAGAGGGCCCTGCCTTCGCGGATAGAAGGAGTTGTCATCTCTTCCTCGGCGGAAGGCCGGCGCAAAGTCAGCGGAAGCAGAACGAGCCCGCCTCCGCCGGCGGAAGCCAGCGGAAGGCGGCGGAAGGCTGGCGGAAGGCGGCGGAAGTGAAAGATTCGCCCCCAGGAGGTGAAGAAACGTTTTCGGGTGCAGGGTTTCCGAAATCCGCCAAAAGTCATCCTCACCCGAATGTATCCTCGTCCTGGCGTCGTCTCAAGTGCCCTCCCTCCTCCCGCATGCGCGGCGCCGCCCTCCCCTGAAATCAGTGGACGCCAGAGATCGATGGACGTCCTGGGGTCACAGGGTTGGGTCTCTTGCGGAGGGTTCTTTGTGGTCGAGCCTCTGCTGTAAGTGCCTTCCCTCCTCCCGCGTACGATTGAGTCGGGCCTGTCCCTCTACAGGAGGAATATTCAAAAATAGTCCAAAAATGGTCAAGTGACTATTTCTTTGGACTATGTTCTAGCATTCGGGGTGTATTTTTGTAGTACGTTCTATCTTTCGTCCAAAATCCCCCTGTAGCCAAGAGGGAAACAAACACACAGACACAATGAATCGTCGACTCCCCAGAAAATATTACAACATATGGGAAACGATGGGGAGTGGGGGGGGAGAGACAGACACCCCAGAACATACGGGCAAACATGGGGGAATCCTGTTATTTGTGTGTGTGTGAGTGTGTGTGTGTGTGTGTGCGTGCGTGCGTGCGTGCGTGCGTGCGTGCGTGCGTGCGTGCGTGCGTGCGTGCGTGCGTGCGTGCGTGCGTGCGTGTGTGTGTGTGTGTGTGTGTGTGTGTGTTTCCTTGTGTGCCCCAGGGCCCCTTCGTGTGGGCGGACAGGCCCGACCCGAGCGCACGGAGGGCGCCGCCCTCCCCGCGCCCCCGGCGGGGCGGGCGCCGAGGACGCGGCGGTGGCCTGCCAGTTCGTGGAGGGCCTGCGCCTCGTGCAGCGGCTGCGGCTGCTGCGGCGGTACGTCCCGGCCTCGGGCCCGCTCGGCCAGGGGGGGGCAGGGCGAGGAGGAGAGTGGGGAGGGGGAGGGGGAGGAGGGGGAGGAGGAGGGGGGGAGGACGAGGAGGAGGGGGTGGGGAGGAGGAGGGGGAGGAGGGGGAGGAGGAGGAGGGGGCAGGAGGAGGAGGAGGAGGAGGAGGAGGAGGAGCAGCAGGAGGAGGAGGAGGAGGAGGAGGAGGAGGAGGAGGAGGAGGGAGGAGGAGGAGGAGGAGGAGGAGGAGGAGGAGGCTGCTCCGTCGCCCTCGGAGCTGGAAACAGCTGGGGCTCCAGAGCGGGGTTCGCGGCGCTCCCGCGGGCGGCGCCACATGCCCGCACACGGCTCGATCCGCGCGCGGAGCATGTCAGACACGCAGCGGAGGGGCGGCGGGGCGGCCCTCGCCGAAGCCAGGGCGAGGCTGGACATCGGGCGAGGATGGCATCGCCGATACATCGGCTATGCAGCTATGCATTGGCGATGCGGCGCGATCTGTCGACCCCATCTACTCGGACCCCATATGGGAGGCCCCTGTGAATCGAGAGTCTCTGAGAGCCAGCGGCTCGAGAGGACGTCTCGGGCGCCGCGGCCCTCTCAGAGCGTTCCCGGACGCTGTGAGAGCGTTCTGGAGCGCCCTGGAATGGACTTACAGTGCCGTTTTTAATAAATGCTCTGCGTGCGGATCATGTATTAAAGATGCAGGGATTTGGTATTAAAAACAACGATGAGTTCATGCATACATTAATGCATAAATTTACCATGTATTAAAATCTTATATTTTAAACATCCCATGTATTAAAAACTGCCCTGTATCCTCGTCTTCGGCCCGTCCGCGTTGCAGTTTTTTCCCCAGCGGCCCTGTTCGCCGGGGGTGTCGGGCCCTGGGGCTCTCGCATATCCCGATGCGTGCCGAACGTTTGGGGTCCGGGGCTCCGATCGGAGTTTCTCATGATGCTGCAGCCTTTTTCGCCAGGGCTCGAGCTGACGATGTTAAGGCGATTTCGTGGACCGTGTTCGTTTTGACCTCGTTTCGCAGCAAAGCAGAACGAAGACAAAACGAGGGAAGGCGAAAACAGCACGACAACGAAACAGACGGTGTAGCTCGAGTCCTGTTTTGCGCTGCGTCGCATCTCAGGGTGGGAGGGGGGTGGGGCGGCAGAGACAGCGGCCCGTCTCAGCGAGGCGTGGCATCCCGTGCCGCGACAAGGCACAGGCAAGAGGGAGCAACAAATACAGAGGCGCAAAGAGTCGGCGATTCCCAGGGAGAGTATGGACGGTACAGGAAGTGGAGGGGAAGACTGTCATCCAGAATATATATATACACACTATACGGTACGGGTCGACTGCATGTATGTGTATTACACATTTATATATATATATATACACACGCGCATCTAGATGTAAGAGTAGGGGGGATCCTGGGATTTGCGTGTGCAGGTATTTGCGTGGTGCCCCATCGGCCCCCTCCCCGCACGGTCCAGACGCCGACGTGAGGCCCGCGGCCTCCCGCGGGGCTCCGAAGGCCCCTCGGGGGCCGCTCCCTGCGGCCCGAGGAGGCCCGTGGGCCGCGCGCGGTGCCACTGCCGCCACTGCCGGGTGCCCCGTCGGGTCGCTCCTCGCGGTGCGGTCGACCCGCGTGGTGAGGGGCGGGGCCACCTGCCCAGCGGGTGCCCTGAACTCGGGCCTGGCCCTCCACGGGAGGGATATTCAAAGCCAGTGAAAACATGGTCTGGGGGCGATGTTGTTCTGGGTATCTCTTTTGACCACTTGGGGAGCATGGGTTTGCGCATGTTCTGCCTTCCGTCCAAAGCCCCCCTGTAGGGGGGCAGGCCCGACTTCAGGGTGGGGCCACCTTCCCAGCGGGTGCCATCTGCGTCCTTCCCTCCGCGGTCCGTCCCTGGCCGCTTTCGTTGGCCGCGCCCCGCTCGAGAAGCTTCGAGGTGGCCTTCCAAGGGAGGGCCCCTGCATCCTCACCGTGCGTCCCCGCGGTACGGGCCGACGGAAGCACGACGGCCCTGACCGATCCGAGGGGCTTGGCTTTCCATGTCTTGGATCTGCGATGTCCGAGCAGGGTCCAGAGAGGCCAGCCCCTCGGATCACATAAATACTATGCTAAAGATTATCCCAGTGCGACCATACCTAGGAGTTGGAGCATTTACGAAAGCAGCATCTACATCTACACCGACAGCTACAGTCACATCTACACCTGCATCTACATCCACATCGACATCAACAGCGAGACTCACGTTTACATCTACATCTACATCTACACCTACATCTACACCTACATCCACATCCACATCTACATCCACATCTACACCTACATCTACATCTACATCCACATCTACACTTTCGCAGTGGTTTTGCGTTTTGCATTGCCTTTGCTGTTGCTCTTGTTTTTGAGTTTGCTTTGCGTTGCTTTGCGTTGCTTGTGTTTTGTTTTGCTGTTGTTGCTGTTGCGTTGCCTTTGCGTTGATGCTATGCTATGCTATGCTGTGCTATGCTGCACTATGCTATGTGATGCTATGGTATGCTATGCTGCGCTATGCTATGCTACGCTAGGCTGCGCTATGTTATGCTAGGCTTTGGTATGCTATGCTATGCTGCGCTATGAATTGCTGTGCTGTGCTGCGCTATGCTATGCGATGCGATGCTATGCTATGCTATGCTATGCTGCGCTATGCTATGCTATGCTGGGCGATGCTATGATATGCAAAGCTAAGCACAGCTAAGCTACAGCTACGCGAAGCTAAGATGAAGCTAAGCGAAGCTGAGCTAAGCTAAGCAAATATGAGATATGCAAAGCTAAGGTAAGGGGGCGCAGCTGGGGGAACCGCGGGGCGGGGACCGGGGGAACCGCCCGGGGCGAGGAACCTTTCCCGGCCCCTTTAAGCTAATAGAGAAAGAACCCTCTAGGCAGAGCCTAGGTAGGGAATTTCTCGGTGCGCGCGTCGCCCCTGGAGGGCGACGCGCACACAGTGTTAGAATGTTAGGGCAACGCCGGCACAAGCCTCGGATGCACGCAAGATTGATCGACCTCCTCCTCCTCCTCTTTCTCCTCCTCCTCATCTTCCTCCTCCTCCTCCTCATCTTCCCCCTCCTCCCCCTCCTCCTCCTCCTCCTCCTCCTCCTCCTCCTCCTCCTCCTCCTCCTCATCCATCTCCTCCTCCTCCTCGCGACCTTCTTGTGCGCGGCTTGCCGATCGCCGCACGAGGTGCGACAAGAACGGCCGGATATATTTTGTCGGAGGCCCACCAGCGCTGCCGGTGCGATCGGGGGCGGCCGAGCCGACCCCCCGCAGACCATCCCCTTCCATGGCGCCCCCCAGGGCGTACTTTGTTAGTGAATTGAATTGGTTTTAGGATTTTAACAAATGGTCGCAGCCACGCAGAGGGCGTGCGTAGCCACGCCCCAAATGCTGGGTCTCCAGTACTTCTACGTGGCGGCGCCCCCGCAGGCACGCAGAGGGCACGCGTGGCGACGGGGGCGTCGCCACGCAGAGCTTCTAAAGACCAAACATTTTGAAAACCAGTTGTTTCCACTACTAAAGTACGCACGCGGCAGGAGGCAGTCCTGGAGGGCGCGGGGGACCTCACGGAAGGTGCTCGTCGCGGAAGGGCTCGGCTGGACCGCGCCCGATCTTACCGGTGCCAGGGGCAACGTTAGGGGAGGATAGGATCAGGGGTGATGCATCGACCCCCCATCGCACATTCATCAACAATAGGAGCTTGATACCCCAGCCCGTCCGTCAACGTGAGGATTCGCTTTCGGGGGCCTATCGCCGATCTATCGGCAATTTATCGTCAATTCTAGGTCGATGTTCCCCCCCTGAGCCACTCCCCCCCAGACGTTCCGCCTCAGGAAGGATACTACCAATGCCGCTGCCCTTCCTCGTCGTCATGGCCAGAATCGCCTCGAAATTCTCGTCAGAATGCTCACCCGAAGAGATCCATGGAGTAGTGGCATCGGTGCCATCAGTCGGTGGCGAGCCCAGGGGGGAATGCAGAAGGGGTGAGCCTTCTCAGAAGGTTCGGACGGCCTCGGATTTTTTGAAAAGTTGTCTGAGCCTTCCCTGAAGACACCACCGATTCCTCAGAAGGCGCGAGGGCTGCACTGGACCTGCCTCCGCAGGCCAGTGCACCCGAGGAGGGGCTATCAAGAGAGGAGGAGGAGGAGGAGGAGGAGGAGGAGGAGGAGGACGGAGGGAGAGGAGAGGAGGAGGAGAAGGAGGAGGAGAAGGAAGAGGAGGGAGGAGGAGCGGAGGGGAGGAGGGAAGACGCCCAGGGCTGCCCAGTGAACGGCTGCTGCGAGCGCCGGGGTGGCTCCCCCGCCCCCCCCCGCGAGGCAGGCCCCCGCCTCCTCGGGAGGCCGCCGCCCCCCCTCGGCACCTGCCCCCGCGCAGGGGCCCCGGGGCCCCCCCGTGCTCGGCGGCGTGCGGGCCTGCTGGCGCTGCTCGCTGCGCGGGCCCCCGGGTGCTCATCGGCCCCTGGCCGCCTTCCCTCCTCCTCCTCCTCCTCCCCTCCTCTCTCCCCTCCTCATCCTCCTCCTCCTCCTCTTTTCTCCTCTTTCTCCTCCTCCTCTCTCCCCTCTCTCCCTCCTCCTCCTCCTCCTCCTCTCCTCCTCCTCTCTCCTCTTTCCCTCCTCCTCCTCCTCCTCCCCTCCTCCTCCTCCCTCCTCCCCTCCTCCTCCTCCTCCTCCTCCTCCTCCCTCCTCCTCCTCCTCCTCCTCCTCCTCCTCCTCCTCCTCCTCCTCCTCCTCCTCTCTTGACAGCCACGGAGTCCAACCAGGAGGCCCCAGGCGGGGGCAAAAAGGGCGAAGCACCACCACCTGAGCGACGCCAAGCAATGGGGTCGTCGTCTGCGCCGACATTCGTGCGTAAGCTCCCCACGTGCGGTCGCGCGTAAGCGCCCTCGGCTCCAACGCGGCGTGCCGCGCTGGCGGCCCGCGTAAGCCACCGCGTAAGGTAGCTATGTCGTCCGTCTCGCATAAGGGCCCTTGCTGATCGTCGCTCGTCTTGATTCTCACCCAGCGTGTCCCAATACTGGCAAAGTGCCCACTCGCAAACGTCCGACAAACGCATGTCTGCCTCGACGTAATGGAATCCCCCGCGGCGGGTCCGGGCCATGTGCGAGTGGTTATTTGGCGAGCTGTGAAACGCGCGCTTGTCTAGATCCCTTTTGGATCGTCGCTCGTCTCGATGGGACCAAGACGTTCGGAGGCTGCAATCGCCCCCCCCCCCCCGAGGCGACCGATCGTCTTGGGCGGCGGGCGACGGGGCGCCTCTCCTTGAGGCCCAGCGACAGCCAAGACGATTTGCCAAAACAAAACATGCCACTCGAGCGGGGGATCCACGGCAGTCGACGCAACGAATAAGGACGCGCGCCTTCGTCTGCTCGGCATCGCTCGGACGGGTGCACGTTTCTCGGCGAGGACCGTCGAGGAGCATGTGAGGTCACCTTGCGGAACATGCACGGGCGAAAAACCGAAACATGCACGGGCGATGGACGTCCGAGCGACGGCTAGTCTAGGCTACCCTTGTGTCCTTGCCTATGCGGCCCATCCTTTGCCGTTTTCGCGAGTCGCCCGTCGCCAACAAAAATCCAAACTTCGGCCTCCAAGGGTCTTGCGTCCTTACCACCCGTCCATAATACACATTTTGATTGTACAGACTTGGTTTACTTCATATTTTTCGTCGAAGCTTCGAAGATGCGTGTAATATTCTGTTGATGTACAGAGGATGCTTCGTTCTTTGTCAAAGACCCCACGGACAAATTCATATTGTGGTGGATCAGTTCTGTAGTCGATCCCCTACTCGAATCACTCTCCTCAATCCCCCCTCCCCTCCCCCCCTCACCTCTCAGAAGCCCTCCGGCCTTCTGCGAGGTGTCCCGTGTCTCCGGGGAAGGCTCCGAACACTTCTCGGAGGGCCGGGGGTCTTCCGATCTCTCTGAGAAGGCCCGCCCCCGTTTACCCTGACCTTCCAGGAAGGCTAAAAAATAGCACCCGACTTAAAAACCTATCCCAAAGCAATTCTACGTCTTGGTTTTAGGCAGTTTCGCTCAGCTTTTTAGGTTTTTAGGTCTCCAGTGCTAAAAAAAAATAGCTCTCTGGAAGGTCAGGGTACTGTTCCCCTGGCCCGCCGCCGCAGCGTGCCACTCCCCTCCACCCTCCCTCCGCCTGCCAGCCCTCCCGGGCGAAGAGCCACCTCGGCCTATAGGGCCGAAGCCCCCGGAGCCGAGCGCCCCGCTGGTCGCCGCCATCATGGCCGGCAGCACGTCCCGGCCACAGCGCCGCGCGGCCCGCCCGGCCTGAGGGCGGAGGCCCGCCAGGGGCCGCTCCGGGAGGGCTTTGCCGCTGCGCGCGCGCCCAGGCTGCAGGGCACGCCAAACGACGAGCCCTCCGCCTCCTCGCCGGCGTCCTCGGGGGAGGCAAGGAGGTACACCCGTGCCGCTGTGTATGCCCTCGCCCCGTCTTCGCATGCCGCTATGTACGATGCTCCACATCCTTGCCTCACCACCGTTGTCGCCTTTTGCTTTGCCTCCCACGCGGGAGGCCCTCGTTGCCACCGCCGCACTCGCCGCGAGGTCCGGGTCAGAGCGCACCCCGGGGAGAGGTCCGGGGAGCAGCGCGTATGGGGTACCACTCGGTTTCCCCAGCCCTCTCCGCGGTCACGAAGCAGGGGGACGTCCGCTCTGCACGCGCCAGGGGAAAGAAGTAGCCTCCCGGGGGCAGTTTTCTTCTGAGCCCCCGGGCCAGCAAACCAGAAGCAACAAAACCAGGGATGAGATGGTGGTCTTCGGGCTGGGGCCGAGAGGTCCGGGGAGGCCCGCGTCGCGACACAGCACGCACGAGGTCGGGGCCTCCTCCTCCTCTGTAGGGCTCCTCCTCGCCGGCCTCCCAGAGATCCAACGTCTGGATTATTTGGATTGGACGCAGTCGCACAGTGAGGATGAGCAGCTTCCCAACGCTACCGTTGCATCCTTGCCCCTTCGGCCCATCCTTGGCGACTTTCGCTGGCCAGCCCCGATCGAAAATGCCAACATGGCCCTCCAAGGCCCTTGCATCCTTACCGCGCATAATTACTTCTGATGCGGCGTGACAAGTTCGATGCGAGGTCCCTGGATGTCCCGTTTCTTTCCCAGAACCAGCTCTTCATCCTGAGCCGTTTGGTTCCCACGGTCCCCGAGCCCAGAAGCGGCCCCCAGAGGCCGAGAAGAGTGAAACGCATTGTGAATTGCTCATGTTGCGTTTGCCCTCGTGGCGTTTCGCTAGAGGGCTCGACCTGCGGTAAACGAGGACCGCAGAAGAGTCCCACAGGGGGGGACGGGGATCCCTGAGAGCGCTGGTTCCCCCCGCCGCTTTGCCTGCGACGTCTTCACAATCTGCTCGGGGATCGGGCCTTCGCCTCAGTGCCAGTTCTAAGTCGGGCCTGTCCCTCCACAGGGGGAATATTCAAACATAGTCAAGAAATAGTCCGGGAACTATGTTTCGACTATGTTTGAGCATGTTTGGGGGTATTTTTTTGTTTTAAAAAGTGTTTTGCATTTTTCGCCCAAAAGCCCCCTGTAGGGGGACAGGCCCGACCTGATGCCAGTTGCACGCGTTCGTCTGGACGCTCACGATCCTCGATTAAGAACACGCCAGCGTTGCACGTGGCCGTGCTCCCACCCCTGCCGCACGGCCGCGACCCCCCCCTTGCAGAAACAATCCACCACGGTGCACGCGGCCGTGCTCTCACCCCCTGCCACGCCAGGGTGCCCGTGCTTGGCATCGCTCGGACGTGTGCATTTTTCCTTTCGGCGAGGACCATCGAGGAGCATCCTCGATCATTTGGCGGAGAAAACCACGCACGAAACCGACAAAAAAACAGGGAATGGACGTCCGAGCGATGGCGAGCGTGGGCATGCCTGTGAGCGCACGTGCTGGCCAGCCGATCTCCCACTCTTCGGCCCGCCTCGCCACCTCAGCTGCGATGAGGGTGCTCTGGTGGGGCAGTGTTGCCCCCGACGCCGGGTGTCTTGACCCCCTGCCCACCAGCCCCTCGCGCGAGGCATCGGCGGCGAGCGAGGGGGGCGAGGGGCCCGCCCCTCCTCACCTCCCCCCCGGGGCCCGCCGCCGAAGGCATGCAGCAGCTGCCCACGAGCACGAGCCTCGTGTTCTCGCGCGCGGGCCGGCCAGAGCCGGACGCCGCCGCGGAGCGGAGGAGCCTCGTGGTGACGCCGGCAGATCCGCTGATGGTGGAGGTGCCCATCGCCGGGCAGACGCTGAGGCTGCACGTGGGCGCAGCAAGACGGGCCGATGTTTCCTCCCCATGCCAATCCCCCCCCTATCGTTGCCCCTCAAAGTCGCTGGGGAGGGAGCTCGCAGGCAAGCTCCTCCCGAGAAGCTGGGCCGGCATTTCTGAGCCGACTTGCCGGAAAGCTGGCCCAGTTTCTGTAGCACGTTCGCCCTTCAAGCATCAACAACAGAAAGTGACCCAGGTTTGTCATAAGAAATTTCAACGATAGTTTTCTTGATCATATGTTTGGTTGTAGAAGTCTCTTGAGCAAGGGACTGCACAATCAGGAGGCGGTATCCTGGGCGACCTGAATAATGTCCGTGGATACCAGGCGCCTTGGGCGACTATCCCCAAGGGCAGGGGGCCGCGACAACAATGGCCACTGGCCTGCGTCGAGCGAGGGGGGGAAGTGAGAAGGGCCGGGCCTTCTCAGAAGGTTAGGCAGTCCCCCGGCCTTCTGAGAAGTTGTCAAAGCCTCCTCCGAAGACACTAACTACACACAACTTCTCAGAAGGCGCGAGGGCATCTGAGAAGTCCCGCCGCCTTCTGAGAAGGCCTGCTCCTCCTCGCTGCCCCCCACTCGCTCGCCCCCGAGCTGGGCCCCCTTTGCCCCGGAGACCCGGGCACCCCTCGCTTTGTCAGCGAAGCCTGCCCCCGAGAGACAGCCACGACGCCCGCCGAGGCTGGAGAGGCTGCCGCAGGAGGCGCCCCACTGGCAGACCGCCGTCATGCTCGTCGACGCGCTGATGGACCTGGGCGACCTGCGCGCCCGGCTGCGCTGCCGCGCGCGCGCCCTCGAGCTGGGCTGCGGCCTGGGGCTGCCGCGGGCTCGGAAGGGGCCCGCCCCGGGCGGCCGCGGCGCGGGGCCTCTCCCGCCCGGCCGGTCGGAGCGCCCAGGCCGAGCTCGGGGCGCTCAGAGGGCGCTGCAGAGGCGCCCAGAGGTCCAGCAGAGGCGGAGCGCATCCCGGCCGGCCTACTGCCCTCGTCCACGCCCCTCAGTGTCGACACGCCGCCCCTCCAGTGTCGGGGCGAGGGCAAAGATAAGTCTGACCGGAGTGGACTCGAAGGGCCCCAGATCTTCCGACCAGCAGTTCAACCACGTCAGACATTTTGGAGGTTCATTTTGACGAGGGTTGTAGCAGGCCCACCAGCGAGTGTTCTGAGAATCGCGATGGCGGCCAAGAGGGGGGTGATGAACAGGGGGGGGGTATCCTGGCGTGGGCCATGATATTGCTCCAGACCCCTTCGGATTCCACTACGTCCCTGCCCCCCCCCCTCCCAATGGGCCGCGCACATGCCGCCGGCCATGGTTTGCGCCCCCCCCTCTTGGACGCCCCCCTCTTGACCGCTCCCGAAAGAACCCTCTGTGGTGGGCACGAGTAATCAGTTGCGCCGACAATCGCGCGTAATTTGCTCGCGTAAGATCTCGCGTAAGCGCAATCGACCCCAATGTGGCTTGCCGCGCTGGCGGCCCGCATAAGCCACCGCGTGAAGTCGCTATGTCAGCTCGCTTAAGACCTCTTTATTTTCGTCGCTCATTTGGAGGCCCCAGGTCAGGTGGGCAACATTTGGGGGGGATAGGCTCAGTGGAAGAGGCATCGAACCCAGTAGCCCGATGGTCGCCGATCATAGGGCCTCGACATCCCTTCCCGCCCAGGAACGTGCGTCGTCGCTATTGGGAGCCTGACGTCAATCTATCGGCGATGTATATATTGACCTATTGACCTGCACTAGATGGCGGGTCCCTGCACTCCAGGGGCCTTCACAGAACCTGACGAGATGATCCTCTCTCGTGAGAGGCCGCAGCGGGTCGCAATTTGCTCCCTCAAATGGGCAAGTTGTCTCACGGGCCACACCAGCAAGCCCTTCGGCTTCACTCCTCGCAGCAACCTCCGAGACGCTTTGATCCCATCGGCCGCAGGGGCGGAAAGTTTGGTTGCTTTGGGCGCAGCTTACCCCCCACACCTGAAACAAACAAACACCCCCTTGGTAATACAATGTTAGGGTGGTGGGTGGGGTGGACATCCAGACTGTACGTCTTGGGGAGGCACACTTGTGTCACTCACCCTGGAGACAGACGGCTTGTCAGAGAAGGCCGCACACCGTGTGCAGCTCGTGTTTTCGTGATCCCTAAGGATGCTGTGCAAGCTCACCTCGGCCTCACGGAGTCTACGGACCTTGGCACTCTTGGGGGCCTTCTGAAGCTTCAGGTTGGGGCCGAACTTCCACGTAAGGTCCTGGATGCACGCAGGCCTCGCTCTGATCAACTTCACCTCCTGACCCCTGGACAGAGATTTCTGAACCTCCTCCTCTTCATGTCCAAAGAACTCGGCTGCTCTGCGCGCAACGGCGTCTGCAGCCTGGCTGGCAATATGGAAATCGGGCCGCACCGTGGCGGATCTGATTCCCGAGAGAGAAGCATGGGCCTTCGTCTTCCTGAAGGCGACGTATTGTGTCCTGTCCTCGTGGGCCTGCCAAAAAAAGAGACCAGAGGTCAGTGTTGTGCTTATGTTTCCACTGCTCCCCCCTCCTGAACCCTTTCATGACGTAGCCGCTGTCAGTAACGACGACGATGCCCCCCCCAAGGGTCAGGGCATACATGGCAGCGGTCTGTTCACCACGGTTGATGGTCTGGGTCCTTGGGGCAGGGCAGTAGAGGGTTCCCAGGGGCCAGTTGTCCCTCCCCTCCCCAGCATGACGAGTTCCCATCCGACACGGCGTGGGCGAGGGTCTGCTGAGCATCTTCCTCCAGGAGCGTCGATGCCGACGATCCTGGCCTCGTGGAGCGCATGCTGCCCTGCCAACAGGCAGCCCGTACCGTAGACCTGCTGGCTGCAGGCTCTCGAGCTGAGGCATCCGACGGTGTGCTCCTCGAGCCCTCCGCACCTCGGGCCCTCGACTGCTCTCACGATCCGTGGCGGCAGCGCGGTGTGCGTCGCAGTGCCGGCTGATGTGTGAGCTGTGGGAGGCTTGTCGTTCGCCTCCCTGCTTGCAGGGTAAGAGAAATAACCAGCTCAGGCCCGCGACCCCTCCGCCCTCGAACCTGGCGACCTCCCGAGTCGCACAGCGGCCGAGGTCGAGTCGGGTGGAGCACTGTGGTCGCGCCCCTTTCTCCCCAAAAGAAAGAAACTGCCGCCAGATCACAGGCACTTAAGTAGGAGATCGGCTACATCATCGATTTACCCCACTACTGATTTGATTCGCCGAATACTTGCACATATGCAGTCGGCCTTGATTAGTACGTCGACCTGCCAAGTCAAGGGTACCCGTGTGTCCTGTCTTTCAAGGTTATTTTGTTCTCTCGCATGCGCTCTCCAATCAAGCCCGACTGTATAGACAATCTGTTTTTTCACGAACCAACGAACCAAGTTCAGGGTAACTCAACTCTGCCGCTGGACTACAGACGCTTGAGCAGGAGATCGGCTACAGCATCGGCTTACCCCGACATTGGCCTTGTCCGTCGAACTGTTCAAAAAAAATCAGCGGTAGGGCACAGCTCCATTCTGTGATGGAGGATGACGATTAATAGATGACCGGGGGTCGTGTTCACGCGGCGGCGCCCGGGATGACGATTAGAAAAAACCGGCCGCGGGCTGGAAAACTATTTTTTAAATCGTTCTTTTCCAGTCAGAAAATTGTGCAGAAATCGCAAAACAAAACTATTTGTTTAATCGTTCTCTCCCATTGTTTTAAATAATCGTCATCCCGCATTAGTCAATCCCCCACTCGAGACGGGCCCTGGCACCCTCGGCACCGCGGGCCCTCGACCCCTCCGCCTTCGCTTCCGCGGCCAGCCCGAGGCCCGGCATGATCTGCGCCGCGCTCGGGGGCCGCGCCGTCCTCACGGACCTCCCGGTCGCGCTGGAGGCGGCGAGCGAGAACGCCGCCGCGAACGGCTGGCCGCAGTACGTCTGGCGGGTGGCCGGGGAGGAGGAGGAGGAGGAGGAGGAGGAGGAGGAGGAGGAGGAGGAGGAGGAGGAGGAGGAGGAGGTGGAGGAGGAGGAGGAGGAGGAGGAGGAGGAGGAGGAGGAGGAGGAGGAGGAGGAGGAGGAGGAGGAAGGAGGAGGAGGGGAGGAGGAGCGGCAGAAGGCGGATGATGATGATGATGATGTGATGATATGATGATGATGATGATGATGATGATGATGATGATGTGATGATGATGAGGAGGAGGAGGAGGGAGGAGGAGGAGGAGAGGAGGGGAGGAGGAGGAGGAGGAGGAGGAGGAGGAGGAGGGGGGGAGGAGGAGGAAGTGGGGGGAGGAGGAGGAGGAGGAGGAGGAGGAGGAGGAGGAGTAGGAGGATGAGGAGGAGGGGGGGGATGAGCGAGGAGGGGGGCTACATTGCGAGTATCTAGCAGCCAGAGGGAGGAGGGGGATTAGGAGGAGAAGGAGGAGGAGGAGCAGGAGGAGGAGGGGGATGAGAGGGAGGAGGGGGATCAGGGTCATGATGTTCCAACCCATTTCAGCCTTCAACAGAAAGAAATTCGAGCACCAGGAAAGTACCCAAACTGGAGGGTTTTCACGTGTCGGGGGGGGTCGGGATGCGATACTCGTTCAACAGTTCGCCAGCGTGTCGGGCAGACACTGTTCCGATATTTGTTCTGTGTGCTCGATTTTTTTGGCGGGACGTAGTCCTCAAGTACGATGGGAACAACATAAGATTAGTGGAATGAGGGGGAGGATGGCGATGACAAGAAGGATGTGGAGGAGTAGGAGTAGGAGGAGGAGGAGGAGGAGGAGGAGGAGGAGGAGGAGGAGGAGGAGGAGTGGGAGGGGGTGAAGGAGGGGGGGAGGACGACGCGACCCCGTGCGCGCGCGTGCGAGGCAGGATCGTTTAACCGACCCTATCCCCGTCCCCATCCCCATCCAGACCCCCACCATCTCAGTACCCCTGGAAGCCTGAAGGAAACAGCCAATATCCCTATCTAGGTGGGTAAATCGGCCAGTGAGTCCCACGCCACACCGATGTGGATAGGGGTCGGATAAACGATGCACCACATCCTTACCTCACCACCGTTGTCGCCTTTTGTTTTGCCTCCTGGGAGGTCCTCGTCGTCACCGCTGGATTCGCTTCGAAATTCTGGTCAGAACGCACCCCAGGAGAGGTCCGGGGAGAAGCGGTATCGGTACCTTTTGGTTTCCCCAGGTGGTGGCCGCCGAGCCAGCGCGCGTGCTGCACTACAATGAGGGCGAGTGCGGCAGCATGCACACCGTCTCGGGGCGTGGAGGTTGACGCCGGCACCGACATCCGCGGTCGCCTCAGGCGAGGCAGAGGTGGCCCCAGATCTCCTGGCAACGCAGTCGAGTTTAAGCAGTAGGTCGACCCTCCCAAATCAGGGGTATCATTGTGTCCTCTGTTTCGCGACCCATGGCCATTACATTCCTATCGCGTTTTATCTCCAATCAGACTGGACTGCAATGTGCTCAGGATCTCCGGGTGGCCTGAAGACTGCCACGAGCACGAAGACCGAAGCTCATCTTTCCATGGTGAAGGCGACCCACGATTTGTTTCGGCCACGCGCAGAGTGGGGTAGGGTGAGGGGGGAAGGCTTCTTAGAAGGAGTGCTCCTCAGAAGGCGCTTGCCTTGTGATAGATGTAAGGCTGGCGCCTTCTGATCAGCCTTCTTTCTGAAAAGTTGTCCCCTTTCCCCTCCTCTCCCTCCTCCTCCTCCTCCTCCTCCTTCTTCCTCCCCCTCCTCCTCCTCCTCCCTCCTCCCTCCGCCTCCTCCTCCTCCTCCTCCTCCTCCTCCTCCTCCTCCTCCTCCTCCTCCCCCCCTTTTTTCCCACCCTCCCACCTCCTCCACCTGGCAGGACCTGCCCGGCACGGGCCCCTGGGATCCTGTTCCCGAGGGTCGAGGTCTCTGGGCGGCTCCGGCCACCCGAGGCCTCCCGGGGGGCCGCAGGGGCCTGTCTCCCGAGGCCGTCGGGTGCCGTCGGGGGGCTCCCGAGGCCACCGCGTGCGCGCCGCCAGATGTTGATGCCGGTGCCAACGTCCGGGCCCCCGAGCGTCGGGTTCCTGTCCCCCGGCGCTCTCGTGACGGAGGTGCGCCAGGACGTGCCCCCGCCCTGGGGGTCAAGAGTGGCACCAGTCTGTCAAGACTTTCCTCTTCCTCTATTGGGGGGGGGGTGTCTAAAGACCCAGGTCGGTTATCTTCGGGGGTGGACAGACCTCCCACCCTGACACGTCGATTCAGGAATTGGCCGTGTTCGGTTCGCGAGAGGGCGTCGCGGCCGCCATTTTTGCGGGTCCAGGTCCGTCGGTTTCGGTCCCAGGCCGTTTTCATCAAGGGGGGTTTTCCTAAAGGGAGGTTTGCCCACCGCCGAACCCAGGTCAGTTATCTGGAGGCCACGCCTCTTTGGGGAAAGTTTGGGGGGCCAAGGATGGCCGTCCGAAGACGATTCAGGAGGACACGCCAGCCCAGGGGAATGGGCGGAGAGAGCCACCGCGGCCCGCGTGACGGAGACAGCTCGGGCTGTAAGGGACGAGGGCGAATTCAATCGAAGGTCAGCCAGAGCGCCAGATGCTGCAGGACCTTGCAGAGCCAGGGTTGCATTGACCCGGGCTTGCGCGCAGGATACCCAAGGATCTTGCAAGATTGTGCAAAGCCTTGCTGACTCAGGCTCGCACTGACCTGGGTCAGTGCGTTCCCGAAGGGACGGGTTCGATTGCGCTGACGTGGGCGCGTGCGTGAGCTGCCCGCGGAGGATCGTGCGTAAGCGCCCTCGCCTCCAATGTAGCATGCCGCGCGAGCGTCCCACGTAAGCCGCCGCACAAGGTCGCTGCGTCATCTCGGGTAGGCTCGTTTCTTCTCGTCACTCATGTGAGGAGCACCCCCTCTTGCGAGGCTTCAGGCTGTGCGCAGACAGCCCTTCAGCCCCTCCCTTCACGAAATCCGCGCGGACCTCCGAGAAATTACAGTCAACCCGCATAGGAGAGTTGGGCAGCCTTCCCAAAGGTACCCTTGCATCCTTGCCTCGTCGGTCCATCGTTGGCCACTTTCGTTGGCCGCGCCCCGCTCGAACAGTTTCGAAATGGTCGTCCAGAGGCCTTCGTAAATCTTCAGGACACCTCGGGCACCTTCTGGGATCTTTCCGAATCTGCAGGGATGTTCGGAAATCTTCAGGCTTCCTCAGGAATCCTCGGGAATTCTCGGGCGTCTGGGATCTGCAAGGATTCCTCTGGAAGCTTCGGGGCCCAGGAGCGAGGAGGGAGGAGGGAGGAAGGCCCTTGTATCCTTATCGCGCATGCTTCTGATACGGGCCGGTCGTATGCTTATGCCGTTTGGTGTTTTTCCCTTGTCCTGGGGCAGACCGCGCCGTTTGGCGGGAAGCCTCGACGAGAAGAGCCCGCCATGGCCGCGAGGCGCCCCCTTTTCTGGAGGCTCCGGGAGACCCCCGGAGCGGAAGACGCTTCGGTCTCTCTGCCGACCCCTCGGATCATTCGATCCCTCTTGGCACAGTCGGCCCGCATAGTAAGGATGGGCAACCTTGCCAGGGGTACCCTTGCATCCATGCCCCCTCGGCTCATCCTCAGCGGAGCGCCAATCAACGTGGCCCCCGGTGGCCCTTGCATCCTTTACCGCGCTTCCTGATTTGTACGGGTTGACGCTTCGGGCTGCGCACAGGCAGCCCCCCGAGGGGCACTGGCCCCGGCTTGCTTCCACAGGCCCCCCGAGGAGCCCCCCCGGGGGCCCAGGGCCGTCTCGACGTCTCGACCCTGGGGCGCGGAGCGCCGCATGCAGCGCCGTCGGAGGCGGCGCCAGGGTGCGGAAAATTGCCCCAGGGGGGCCTCCGCTGAGGCCAGCCGGGACTAGTCGTCGGTCGTTGAAAGTCGGTACTTTTGGAATCCCAGGCTCCAATCTGCTTCAAGCGCCTTCCTGCTTCAATGCTCGAGTGGCTTCCCCTCTTGCCTCCTCTTCAGGAGGCGGGCGAAGACCGAATCTACTTCCAAAGCCTTCATACTTCATGTGTCTGCCTACTTCTTCCGACCGGTGGGTACTTTGGGGTCTGTCTTCGGCGCCATCTGGACATACCAATGCTATGTGCGCGTCGCTCCCGAAGGGGCGACGGGCGTACCGAGAAATCTTATAGTGTGTGGTCGGTGTCGGGCACTTTCTGGCCGTACCGCTCAGGAAACGATCTACTATGATACGGACGTGCGACATGTCCGGGTCAGACGCACGCCTCCGAGGAGGACACGCAGTACTACTATGTTCTCCTGCCTCCCATGTTTGTGCGTAACCCGAAGCCTTCTCGGAGCATCCCCTCCCCCGCCATCTCCGAAGCGCCCGCCCGGCCTGGGGTGCCTCTTGGAGGTGCTCGGGCCTCTGCGTCAGAGGCTCTCGAGAGAGAGAGCGCGGCAGGGCTTCTGCGAGGCGGGGCGCCTTCTCTCGAGAAGGCCGCGCCCCCCCCTCGCCTGAGATCCCGGCGTTGCAATGTCTTCACGACGGGCGCTTTCGTCCGTGCTCGGGCCTGGGGACCCTCGCAGATCGATCCGCCTCGAACAATGACGCAGAAATATCTGCGATATTGTACATTTTTCGCAGGAGGAGGAGGAGGAGGAGGAGGAGGAAGAGGAGGAGGAGGAGGATCATCTCACGGTCCCTCCCTCTGCGCGCCGCCGACCGGGGACCCCCCCAGGAGGGCAGCATGATCCAGTTCCAACGGCTGACCGGCGAGGGCGCGGGGCTCGGGAGCCCGCCCGCCGCGCGAGATCGCGGCGGGGGGCTGCTCCCCGGGCGGCCCAGCGCGGGGGGAGCCCGGGGGGGGCGGGGGGCTTCGCTTAGGTCGGGCTTGCAGGGGGATTTTCGACGAAAAACAAAACAAGCCCTCAAAAGACCCCAAAAGGTCAAAAAATATTCAAAAAATAGTCCCCTGACTATTGGGATTATTTTTTGATCATTTCTGGGGTATGTTTTATTTTGCGTCGAGAATCCCCCTGTAGGGGGACAGGCCCGACAGAAGCCTTGGCATCGCTCGGACGTGCGCATGTTTTCCCGGCGGGGGCCATCGAAGAGCCTCCTGGATCCCCGGGCAAGAAAAAAAAAGCACGCGCGAAACACCGAAGAGCGCACCGGGGGGATGGGCGCCCGAGCGACGGCGATGGGGCATGGCTCCGAGGAAGACGCGCCGCAGAGGGGGGCCGACGCCCGACCGATGTCAGATCCGGACCGCGGTGGGACGAGCCGGAGGCCCGCCCCCAACCCGGGCGCCCAGACGCCCTCCTCCTCCTCCTCCTCCTCCTCCTCCTCCTCGCTCCTCCTCCTCGCTCCTCCTCGCTCCTCCTCCTCCTCCTCCTCCTCCTCCTCCTCCTCCTCCACCTCCTAGGAGACCGGCCGGAGGAGGAGGACGCGCGAATATGCGTGAGGACGGAACCGGCCGTCCACAAGGGGATGGGGTCAAGCAGGGCTCTTCTCGACTCGGCTCGGGATTCCGATCTGGGTTCCGATCTCTTATTGGACGCATATTGGTCTGCCGATTTCCGCCGGTTCGACTTTTCCCGACTCGGCTGCCGATGTCCGCCGATCCGATTCATTTCGATCGCCGATCCGACTTGTCGATTCGACTCTGGGGTCCCTTGGTCAAGGGAGGAAGAGCCACCCCTCATTGAGGATGAACGAAACCCTAACTCGAATATCTAGGCCTCCCAGATGGGTCGGAGTAGATGGGGTCGGAGGATCGCGCCGCATCGCCGATGCATCGCCGATGCGGCTCGATGCGGAGCCCGATTTGCTTCGCGTCGACGTCGCCGATGCCTCGCCGGCGTCGCCGACGCATCGCCGGTGCATCGCTGATGCATCGCCGATGCGTCGCCGATGTATCGCCGATGCGGCGCGATCCTCCGAGCCCGTCTACGGCCTCTATAGTAACACGATGAAGACGGAGTCTCACTGAGGTCCCCGTCTCTGCATCAGGGATAATGATTGTTGGCGTTTTGGCTCGATACATTTGCAGAACAGACCCCCTATCCCTGATGTGTTTGGCCCTCCTAGCTTAGGTCCCATCCCAAAGGGTTAGGGGTACTTTCATTGCTTATCAGACCCGACCCCCATATTCTGCGTTTGCAAAGCAGTCCTGGGCGTTCACTGAACAGCCATGCCCTGCGCGATTTCTCCCCAAGGCGCGTCTAGGACAAGGAGGGGAGCAGAGGGGAGGGGAGGGAACAGACGCGCAAAACCTGCATGATTCGAATAGGGGATCGACTACATCATTGATTCACTCCAAAATTTGTTTCCCCGCCGAATCTGCCAGAAACGCGTAGCATGCTCGCAGTTCTACGGGACATTAGATGCATTTTTCGCAGATTCGGCGGGAAAACAATTTTGGGGTAAATGAATTCTGTAGTCGATCCCCTACTGGAACGATGTTTGGACCTCAGCGCGGATTTCTTGGATCTGAGCTGGGGCGCCCCTAGCGGCGCCCCCGGCGCCGCCCACGGCGTGCTCCACACGCCAGGGAGGGGGGGTCCAGCGCCGATCCAAGAAATCCGCGCGGACCTCGGAAACATTATTGGCGATTCGCGTATCCCGATCAGCCCAGCCAGAAACGATCACCGTGGGAATTGCCCCAATGAGGAAGGAGTAGAAGCACGCTGTGGAACAGCCGCTGTGGAAGTGTGTCGGGAACGCAGAAAACTAAGGATGAGGAGGTGGCCTTTGCGGATGTGTTGCTGTCAGAGGTTCTTGGAGGGTTCCTGGAGCCATCTTGGGGCCCTTTTGGGGTCCCCGTGGGGCCTCTTGTGGGCCTTCTTGGGGCTTAGGAGGGGATCTCGGTGCCCCCTTGGGGCTCTTCGGCGGGGTCTGGGGGTCCTCTTGGCACGGTCTTGGGCCCCATGACCAACAAAAGAGGATAGCATTAAGTCGGGCATGTCCCTCCACAGGAAGAATGTTCAAGAAATGAATTTAAAACAACTCGGGCGACGATTTGTCTAGCTATCTTGGCTACTTTTGAGCATGTTTCGAATATATATTACTTATCTTCCAAAGTCCGCCTGTAGGATGGCATGCCCGACCTAAATCTTGGGCCCCGTGGCCAACAAAACAGGATGGGAATGATTCAGAAGCCCCCCGTCGGAGGCTGACACATTGCGTCTTGAGGCCCTCCTGAGTCGCCCCCGTGGGGCTCTTGGGGCCGCCTTGGGGCCCTCGTGGGCCCTTCTTGAGACTCTCTTGGGCCGTCTTTGGGCCCTCTGGAGTCGAGAAAGAAACACGGGGACCATGACCAAGATGTCGCGAGATGGTGTCGATGCCTATCTTGGTCATGGTCATGTGGGCCGTCGCCGATTCGCGAGAATGATCCACGCACTGACGTTGATCAAGATCGACGGTGATCAAGATCGGCACTACCTTTCCGCGTTCAGTCTTGGTCACGATCCCCGTTGTTTCCCTTCCATGGGGGCTTCAAAAGCCAATCGGAAACGAACAGGCGGGAAGGCAAACTGCATTGAGTTTCCCTGGGTTGCTGAAGGATGTATGTTGGCCTCTTTGGGGGTAGCTTGGTGGGCTCGTAGGGCACTTGGTAGGGCACTTGGAACCTCTGGGGGGTATGTCGGAGGCTATCTTGAGCCATCGTGAAGTGGCATGGTCTATCTTGGAGACTATCTCACAGCACCTGGGGTCGTCTTGGAGCCATCTCGGGCAGTCTTGGACGCTCCAACACCTCGGGGCCCCCCTCGTCCAGACCCAGGGGCGGAGCAGGGGAAGGGGCCAGGGTAAGCCCCTCCCCCGAGCAGGGGAAGGAGGCTCTCTGGAAGAGGGGGGAACACAACTCGGTATACATCCTTCTCCCAGAGGGCTGGTGGGATTATGCTTATACCTTGTGTTGTTCCTCGATGGAAGTCGGCGGCGAGCGAGGGTGTGAAGTGAGAAGGGGCGGGCCTTTTCAGAAGGCTCAGAAGTCCCCCCGCCTTATGAGAAGTTTTTTTCCGAGCCTTCCCCGAAGGCAGAAAATGAGCCTGGCGAGGGACCCAATCATGTGCAGATGTGAGTACCGCAATTGTAGATATCGTCTTCGGTGGCGCTCCCGCCTGAGGTGGAGCTCTCTATGGAGCCACGAACCGTGTGAGGGGTGTGCCAAAATGGGTGGCGGGGTTGCATGGGAATGTCGCCACTGGAGCCTTAGGTGGAGCTCCCTAAGGGGCCACGAACCGTGTGAGGGCTGTGCCAAAACGGGCGGCCTGGAATCATGGAAACGTCGCCACTGGGGTGGAGCTTCTTATGGGGCCACAAACCGTGTGAGGGTTGTACCAGAATGGGTGGCGGGGACGCATGGAAACGTCGACCTGGGGCCTTACGTGGAGCTCCCTATGGGGCCACGAACTGCGTGAGGGGTGTGCCTAAACGAGCGGCCGGGACGCATGGAAACGTTGCCACTGGAGCCTTGGGTGGAGCTCCCTAAGGGGCCACGAACCGTGTGAGGGGGTGGCGGGGTTGCATGGGAATGTCGCCACTGGAGCCTTAGGTGGAGCTCCCTATGGGGCCACGAACCGTGTGAGGGGTGTGCCACACTGGGTGGCGGGGGCGCATGGGAATGTTCCCATTGGAGCCTTAGGTGGAGCTCGCTGAGGGACCACGAACCGTGTGAGGGGTGTGCCAAAATGGGTGGCGGGGCGGCACGGGAACGTCGCCACCGGGGTCTTCGGTGGAGCTCCCTGAGGGGCCACGAACCGTGTGAGGAGTGTGCCAAAATGGGTGGCGGGGACGCATGGGAACGTCGCCACTGGCGACGGGGGAGGAGGAGGGGGAGGAGGATGAGGAGGGGGAGGAGGAGGAGGAGGAGGAAGGAGAACGCGGGGCGCAGTCTCTTCAACACGAGGACTCGACACCACGGGATGGCTGGGAACAACTTGTCACAGGGCGCCAGGGCTCCTGAGAAGTCCCGCCGCCGTCTGAGAGGGCATTCTCGCTCTCACTTTCTCCCCCTTCGCTCCCCGCCGAGGCAGGGCACGGGGAGCTGAGCTGAGATGGCCCCTCCGATCTCCGCCCCGGCCGGCTCAGACCTGGGCGCCTCCTGCCCTCTTGACGTGCGCTCCGCCCACCGCGCACGAGCCTTCGCCTCGGGGCCACCTCGCGGCAGGGACACCTGGCCCAGGCCGGAGGAGGACCCCACGGGAGGAGACGAGGGAGAGGACCCCTTGAGGAGGAGGACCCAAGGGATGCCAAGGAGGACCCAAGGAGGAGGACCCAAGGAGGAGGACCCAAGGAGGACCCAAGGAGGAGGACCCAAGGGATGCCTGGCCCAGGCCGGAGGAGGATCCCAGGGAGGAGACGAGGGAGAGGGAGAGGGAGCGGACCGTGTCTGCTGCTCCGTTACCTGGCGGGCGCGTGCTCCACGTGAACTCTTCGTTTCAGTACCTGCCGCCTTGTTGTTGCCCGCTGCGCCCGTCGGGCCGATTTGTGTTACCCCTGGCCGAAGTCGGCCTCGCTTCTTTTGTTCCCTAGCCACAGCGCCACGAGCAGCTGATCCAGCTCCGTGCAGCGTCGAAGAGGTGGAGAGGAGGGAGCGAGGCCCGACCATTGCCGTCTAGGGGCCGGAGTCAGGCCGGGCCGAGGCAGGCATCGGCCCCGGGGGCGGCCGGGCGGGGCTGGGACGAGGATGGGTCCGTTCCCGGAGCGCTCTCACCGCGGCGCGCCTGGTCTCGGAGACCTTTGATTCACCCTCATCCGGATGAGTGTGTCCTCGTCTTGGCTTCGTTCGGCGGCCAGCCAGGGGCGGCCAGCCAGGGGGGGAGAAGTGAGAGAGGGCGGGCCGTCTCAGAAGGACCTCAGAGCAGTTTGTCCAAGCTTCCCCCGAAGACAAAACAGCTTCTCAGACGGCCCGCGGGCTTCTGAGAGGCCCCGCCGCCGTCTGAGAAGGCCTTTCTCCTTCTCGCTCCCCCCCCCCGCCCGCCGCCAGGGAAGGGGACGGGGGGATCGAGGATCAGGAGACTGCTTGGTTTGGGCAGCGCGTTCCTGCTTATCCTTGGGGCCTCCAGGAGAGGCTCCCAGTCGCCGCGGCTGCAATCCTCTCCCAGTCCTGGCCGTGGGCGGGGCGATCTCCCCCCCCCCTCGCTTCGGGGGGGTGCTGAGGGTGCCCCTGGCCCAAGGTGGTGCCCCCCCCAGCTCTTCGTTCCATCTTGGGGCCCCCAGGGGCCCTTCTGGGTCTCCCGAGGGGTGCTCTCCGGAGGCCGTGGGGACCTCCTCGGGAACTCCTGGGGGGGGCGCCCTGGGCCAGGGCCACCTCGAGCAGCACCTGATCGCTCGCCTCCGCTTCGGCCCGGGCGGGGGAGCGGCAGCGCGGCAGCGCGGCAGCGCGGCAGCGCGGCAGCGCGGCAGCGCGGCAGCGGCGGCGGCGGCGGCGGCGGCGCGGGCGTGCAGCAGGGCCCCCCCCCCGGGCGGGAGGGGGGCGGGCAGGAGCGAGGAGTTGGCAGAGGGGGGAGGAGGCGAGGGGCGAGGAGGAGTGGAGGGAGAGGGAGGGAGAGAGGGAGGGAGGGAGGGAGGGAGGGAGGGAGAAGGGAGGGAGGGAGGGTGGAGGAGGAGTGGAGGGAGGAGGGAGGGAGGAGGAGCCGGTTGGGTGGAGGAGGCGTGGAGGGAGGAGGGAGGGGGTACCGATGCCGCTCTCCCTGGCTCCGATCTCGCCTGTTTGGGCCTCCTGGGAGGCCCTCCCTGCCACCCCCAGGTTCGCCGCGAAATTCTCGCCAGAACGCACCCAGGGACAGGTCCAGGGAGAAGCGGTATCGGTACCCTTGTGTCTTTCCCCCCCGGAGGGGGGTGAGGGAAGAAGGAGGAGGAAGGATGAGGAAGGAGGGAGGAGGGAGGAGTAGAGGAAGGAGGAAGGAGGGAGGAGCTGGAAGGAGGACGGAGGGAGTAGTAGGAAGGTGGGAGGAGGGAGGAGGGAAGAGGGAGGAGTAGAGGAGGAGGTCGGAGGAGGAAGGAGGAGGGAGGAGGAGGAAGGGAGGAGGGAGGAGGAGGAAGGGAGACGGAGGGAGGAGGAGGAGGAGGAGGAGGAGGGAGGAAGGAGGAGGACGAACGGAGGAGTAGAGGAGGAGGCAAGGGCAAGGCGGGAAGGGAGCAGAAGGAGCAGAACTAGGGAGGGGGACGGCGAATGAGGGAGGATGGAGCAGGCAGGGTCTGGGAGGGAGGGGAGGAGAGCGGGGGAGGGAGCAGAGAGGCGCTGGGAAGGAGATGGAAGTACAGACAACCCTCATGGTAAGGATGGGCAACCTTCACAAGGGTACCCTTGCATCCTTGCCCCTTCGGCCCATCCTTTGCGACTTTCGTTGGCCAGCCTCGTTCTAAATGACGTTCACATGGGCCTCCAAGGCCCTAGCATCCTTACCGCGCATCTTGATGATACGGATCGACTGTTTGGATCAGAGATGAGGGAGGTGTGAGGAGGGAGGCCGGCGAGATTATGCCGACTCGCCAGGGGCCTGTGTGTTGGAGACACCGAGACGTCTCTTCTCGATCCGCGAGGAAGACGCTCTGAGGCCCAGACGACGGCTGGGTGAGGACCAGCAAGAAGGGCGTAGCATTCCTCGCGAAGACGGACGAGCGGCCGCCGTGCGAGGTCGGAGCTCTCCTGGCCAGGCACCGCCATTTTACGTTGCATCTTCGCGGGACCTCGCCTGTCCCCAAAATTGGTGTCTTCTCTTGTGCCCGACGTGGGCTCGATGCGGATTCGACGCGGATTTGGCGTGGATTCGTCGCGGATTCGACACGGATTCGACACGGATCTGACGCGTCCGATATGGTGTCGACGCGGATCGGGCCACGACGGGACAGACAAGGCCCCCCGAGGATGCATCATAGCGTCATTCTCTCGTCGATTGTTGTTGCTCCCTCATTTGATGGGGGCTGCTGCCTTCGGTCATCGACCTTTGCCCCTTCCTTCGCCTCGATCATCAAGGCTCCTCATCAGCTCCCCCTCCCTCCCTCCCTCCCTCCATTGGTTACCTTCCCTCACCTCCCTCCCTCTTTTGTCCCGCCGTCATCTCCCCTCTTCCACTCCCCCATTCGCCCTTGCACTCCCCCGCCCCACTGAAATGCCGTCCACCTCTCCCTGTTTCCCCAGTCCCCCTTTCCTGTGTTCCCCTCCCATTCCTCCCCGTGTCTCCTCCCTCCTCCTCCTCCTCATGCTCCTCCTCGTCCTCGTCCTGCTTCATCTCATCTCGTTCCCACCGTTCTCATCTCCCTGTTCCTCTTCCGTCTAGGCCTCCTCTAACTCTTCCTCCTCTGTTCGCGTTTTTCCGTCTGTCATCATCCTCATCCTCTTCCCTCTCGCGTTCACCTCATCCTCCCCACAGCGGATCGCTGCATCATCGCCCTGCTGCGGCTGCGACTGGGCGCGCAGGGGCCAGGCCAGGAGTCTGTCGATGGAGCCGCGCTGCAGTGGTGGGGGCACGGAGGCACGACGCCTCGCCGCCGCGGCGGGCTTCCATCGCGCGCGGAGTGGCCGCCCATTTGAGGGCGTTCTAGAGCAAGCCTCGCCTTCCAGGGATCGAGGAGTGGACGTCTCCTCGGCGGAGGTCTGCAGAATGTCAGCGGAAGCAGAGTTAAAGCCGTCTCCGGTGGCCGAAGACGGGCGGCAGGTGGCGGAAGTAAGATAGGCCTCCCACGACACGTCAACGTGTTGGGGTTCAGGGTCCCAGAGCGGGCCGCTCGTGTGGCAGCCGTGGCAGTGCCATTCTGCGTGGAGGGGGCGGCGTCGGCCTACACTTGCGGAGCGCCATCCGACGGCCCCCGCGCAGCTCCTTGGGCGGTTCGGCGGCGGAGGCGCTCACGTCCCCCGTGGTGGTCGACGGCGCGTGGCCCCGGCGGCGCTGTGCCGACGTCTTCGGTGGTGCTGGCGCGGGGGAGGAACGTCCGGGCGGCGTCGCTGCCAGGGCTGCCCGTGCGAGGCGGGCGCCAAGGCCGCAGCGAAACTGCCTCGGCACCGAGCGCTCCGCTTCGCGGGCCCGCGCGCGCACGGCGAGGCCCTCCAGGCGCCCCGGCCGCGCAGGCCGATCCCCCGCCAGCTCGATCGCGTTCGATTTTTTTCTGCACGCGGTGGGAAAGTCCCGCTGGCTCGCGTCGGGCTGTTGTTTTGTCCCACCGCCCCCCCAAACAAACGTGGGTTCGCGCTGCCCCAGCCGCACTCGCGCTGCAGCGAAAGAGGTGTTGGGCGGCGTGTGGTCCGCCCCTGGCCGCCGCCTCGTTGCCCGGTGAACTCTCTGTGCGCGTGCACGTCCCCATGGTCTGGGCGTCCCGGATGGGGTCCGAGTAGCTGGGCTCGGAGGATCGCGCCGCATCGACGATGCGGCTCGGTGTGGAGCGCGTGTCTCCCCACGCCGACGTCGCCGATGCATCGCCGACGTCGCCGATGCGGCGCGATTCTCCGACCCCATCTGCTCGGACCCCATCTATGAGGCCTCTACTTCCCCAGTTGCCCCGATCCAGCACCTCGTGTCTTGCACCGCCCTCGGGGCAGTGTTGGGTGGGGGGGCAGGCTCAGGGGGAACGCATCGACCCCCCAATCGCCCAAGGATCGCCGAGGTGGGGCCCGATGGGCCCTGCCTGCCAAGGAGTGCAGGGTTTTGCCGTCAGGGGGCCCTATAATGGAGGATGACGATTAATAAATGACCGGGGGTCGTGTTCACGCGGCGGCGCCCGGGATGACGATTAGAAAAAACCGGCCGCGGGCTGGAAAACTATTATTTTATCGTTCTCCTCCAGTCAGAAAATTTTGCAGAAATAGCAGAAAACTATTTGTTTAATCGTTCTCTCCCATTATTTCCTCTACCTAGGCTCTGCCTAGAAGGGTTCTTACTGTGTTAGCTTAAAGGGGCCGGGCAGTGGAACACGCCCAGGGCGGTTCCCCCAGGATCCGCCCCGCGGTTCCCCCAGTGACGTTCCCTTAGCTTAGCGTTGCTTATCTCATGTTAGCTTAGCTTGTTTCATCTTAGCTTAGCTTAGCTTAGCTTCATCTTAGCTCAGGCTTATCTTAGCTTAGCTTACCTTCATCTTAGCTTCGCCGAGTTTTAGCCTAGCAGAGCACAGCATAGCATAGCAGAGCGTAGCACAGCACAGCGCAGCACAGCATACCATAGCAAAGCCCAGCATAGCACAGCATAGCGCAGCATAGCATAGCATAGCATAGCATAGCATAGCGCAGCACAACACAGCACAGCACGCGACGGAGAGGGAGGACATCGGCGACGACGAGGACGAGGGGCCGCACAAGCGCTGGCGCCGTGAGTGAGCGAGCGGCTAGCGCCTCGCAGCTCGCGGGTCGCGCCTCGCAGCTCGCAGCTCGCAGCTCGCAGCTCGCACCCGGTGAGCGAATGCGAAAACATGCGTGTGTGTGTGTGTGTCTGTGCGCAGGCAAACCAAAAACAAAATCAAGCAAAAACAAACACAAAACCAAACCAAAAGCAACACCAAACGCAAAAGCAACAAAAAGGCAAGGCAATGCAAAGCAAACATAAAACCAATGCGAAAGTGTAGATGTAGGTGTAGGTGCAGATGTTGATGTAGATGTAGGTGTAGATGTAGGTGTAGATGCAGATGTAGATGTAGATGTGAGGCTCGCTGTTGATGTTGACGTGGATGTAGATGCAGGTGTAGATTTTGATGTAGCTTTCGGTTTAGATATAGAAGTTGTTTCCCTAGATCCTCATATTCCTAGGTAGGGTCGCACTGGGACAATTTATGAATCGTCATCCCGCAATAACCGATCTATAGGCGACGCATCGCCGATTCCAGCTCCCTGTCTTCCCCCCTCAGCTGGCCCCCCGCCCCTTCTGCCGACGCCCCTCATCTTGGGCGAGGGCACGTCCCCACTTGCCCCCCCTGGCTCTCCCTGGCATCGCTCGGACGTGTGAGTTTTTTCCTCGGCGAGGAGCATCCTTGACCATCTGCCGAAAAAACCACGCACGAAACAAAAAAAAAAAAAAAAAAAAAAAAAACAGGGAATGGACGTCCGAGCGATGGCGAGTCTCGGGTGCTCCGCTGCCCGGGGGAGCGCTCTCCGAGGAGGCTCAACCGCTGGCCGGGGCGTTCTCTGCTCCGCTGCCAAGACACCTCTGCGACCAGCCAGCAGGGGCTGAGCTAGAGGCACAGGTTGGCGCCAACAGCAATATCGGCGATGCGCCTCCACGGAGGGAAGATGCTTCCGACCTCGGTGGTGGTGGTAGCGTTTGGGCTTCGAAGGTGGCCGATAGATTACCACCAACACCAAAATCTAGTGCCATGTTCCCCCCTGTGGAGGCAACGCCCTTGTGTTGGTGTTGGTGCCTAGCTCCAGGACTCCAACCGAAGTTTCTTCCGCGTTGCCGCTCTCTCGGCACGAGTTGCGGTCAAATTTGCAACTTGCCGCCTTACGGTAGTATTGTGCGGCGATGGCGCGCCGGCGACGCTGGCGAAGGCGTTCAAGGTTGAATATTGCGACGCTGAAGCACCTAGGGGCGCGGTGACGACACACGACAGACGAAGTTCAACCTTGAACTATCCGGGCCGCGATCGGCTCAAGGTTAAACGATCGACGCGGTGTCAATCAACTTTGCGCGCGCCGACGCCGCACGAACCTACCGTACCTCATCGTGATAACGATTTGTCATCTGCATCGCCGCCACCGTCATCATCAGCATCATCAGCATGACCATCGTTCTCAGTGTAAGCATCACCACCGCCACTAACACCAGCGAGCACACGAACTGCAGCATCAACCTCGTCCTCGGCCCCAGCCTCGAGTTGGTCCTTCCCGCTCCTTCTTCTCGATTGCCCCTGTGTTTGCATGTGTGTTGCGCTTCTCCCCATCACGACCATACCCAGCAGCGTGTTCATTCATCTAGAACAAGAGCGTCCTAGTCCTCCTGAACACAACTTCGTCCATGCAGCCCACTTCTACTTAGACATGGCCTTCTTCACATGTTCGTACATAACCCTTCCATTTCTCAAGTCCTGAATCTGGGGCCTTTATTGTTGGTGCGACGCCCTGGCTCCCTCCCTCACTCAACTCCAGCATCCCGCCTGACTCAGACTCAGACTCACTCATGCTCAGCCTCACTCACAGTCAGACTTACTAATACTCACCCATGCTAAGACTCAGCCATGCGCAGGAGCGCATTCAGAATCACTCACACCGAGGTTCACCGATGCACAGACTTACTCACCCTCAAACCCACTCGTTTTCAGACTCACTCGCGCTGATATTCATTCATAACCAGACTCGATCTTGCTCAGAGCCATCCATATCGCGGGCGAGTTTCCCCGGCTTGGCTCAGTAGACGAGTCCCTCCTCCGAGGCCCGCGATCACCGCGATATAGCAGGCATGGCACTAAGACCTCCCTAAGGGGAGCCACCCAGGGAGTATACCACTGGCCTGTTCGCGCCCGGATTGCAGGGACCTCTAAGGCGAAACGCCAGTTCTCAGATCCGCGAACACCCAGTCTCACTCGCATTCGGCCCCGCCCTCAGTTCGACACTCATCAAGGAATGTGTTTGCAGATGTGCACGCATCTCTGGATCCCCGCGTCGAGAAATGTGTTCAACGTATCTTCTGTGTATGCCCCGCATGAACAGTATGATGCTCTCTATTCCACCATTATATCAGTCCTCATCGTACACATCATCCTATTGTACATCATCCCCTCCCCTTTCGTCCAGGTCGCCCACCTTCCTGCCCTATTCATTGTCCTTGTCGCACTCCCACTCTTACCCTAACTACTGCTCAACACTTCAAACCCTAATCATGCGTCTCCCCCTCTCCAACCCTGCTGGAGTGCTCGTCCTCCCTTCCTCCCCCTCGCCGTCTTCCTCGCCCTCATCCTCATCCGCGTCGCAACGAGCAGCAAATTCTACAGCAGGGCTTGGCGTGCTTGTTGCACTTCCCCCCGTGTCCCAGGGCCGATGGCTCCTCGCAGTCTTCGCCAAAGGGGGGGGGGGCGGCCTCCCGCGAAGGCAGCGGGCCTCTTCGAGCCCCTCCCGCCCTCCGGCTAGGCTTCCTCGAGGCCCCCAGCCCCCCCTTCGTCTCTCTCGAGAGGCAGCCAGCCTCCTCAGACGGGCCGCCACCCCTCCCATCCGGAGGAGGAGGAGGAGGAGGAGGGAGATGCGGCGGCGGAGGAGGAGGAGGAGGAGGAGGAGGAGGAGGAGGAGGAGGAGGGGGAGGAGGGAGATGAGGAGGAGGAGGAGGAGGAGGCAGGGAGGAGGAGTGAGCAAGACAGGACGGAGGAGCAGGATCAGGAGAGGATGAGAATACTTTAGGAGCAGCAAGGGGGGGGAGGAGGAGGAGGAGGAGAGGAGAGAGGTGAGTAGGAGGAAGGAGGGGAGAGGAGTGAGGAGGGAGGAAGGAGTAGGTGGAGAAGGATGAGGGAGATGAGGAGGGGAGGATGATTAGTGATGCGGGAGATGATGTGCTGATGATGATTATGAGATGATGATGGAGTGATGATATGATATGATGTAGAAATGGAGAGTAGGAATGATGATAGAGATGATGATGATGATGATGATTATGATGATGCTGATGCTTGATGCTGATGCTGAATGCTGATGCTTGATGCTGATGCTTGATTCTGATTCTGATGCTGATTCTGATGCTGATGCTGAATGAGGATGAGGATAGATGGGAGTGAAGGATTGAGGATGATGATGAGGATGAGGATGAGATGAGAATGAGGTAGGATGAGTTGGAGGATGGGATGGAGGAGTAGGATGCTTCTGATGCTGATGCGCTGCTGATGTGAGGATTATGATGATGAGGAGGAGGGGAGGAGTGAGGAGTGCGGATGAAGTAGGGAGGAGAAATGAGAGGAGGAGTGGGAGGGAGATGAGGAGGAGGAGGGAAAGAATGAGAGAGGAGAATGAGGAGAGGAGGGATAGAAGAGAATAAATAATCGGAGGAGGACGGAGACAGGAGGCTCGGCGGAGGAGGAAGGGGAGGAGAGGATAGGAGTGGGAGGAGGAGGAGGAGGCGCAGCCGCGGCAGCAGCAGCAGCAGCAGGGGCATAGGAAGCAGCAGATGAGAGGAGGAGGAGGGGAGGAGGAGGAGCGAAAGGAGGAGAAGGAGGAGAGGAGGGGGAGGTGGGAGGGAGAGGGGAGGGGACAGGGAGGGGGAGGGAGAGGAAGGGAGGGGGAGGGGGGCGGGGAGGAGGAGTGGGAGGAGGAGGTGGAGCAGCTACCCGCCCCCGCACCAGGCCAGAGTTCGCACCGCACCCGCCCCCTGGACCGCCTTCAAGGGGGCAAGTCCTAGTGGGGCCCCCGAGGGTGGCAAACCCATGCGGAGCGCGGCTGGCGGCCTGCCTTTTGCCTTGGCAGGCACGGCCTCGGCACCTTGCCGTTCCCAGCCTCGCGGGCCGAGGTGCCTCGGAGGATCGGGCGCTCGAGAGCCGCTGCTTCAAGACTTGTTCGGCACCCGGGCGGGGCCATCTCGGTAGCCTCCGGAGGCCTCTGGGGGACCTCAGGGCTTTCGGAGGCGTCTCTCCTCCCGAGCGTTCTGGAGACCTCTGGGAGGATTGGCTCAGGGGGGAGCATCGACCCCCCATTTCGGAGGCGACATGCAAACTCTACCCCACCACTCCACGATTTCTAAGGGGGGAGGTTGGGTTCACTTCGTTCGGGACCTCCCGAGCGAAGTGAACCCCATCTTTCCCTTAGAAATCATGGGGTGGTGGAGTAGGGTTCGCATGCGGCCTGCTACCACTGCCCTTGCATCTCCGATCTGGGCTTGGGCGCCCCACTTTGCCCAGGAACGTGCGGCTTCGCAAGTGGAGGCTCTCGCCGACACATCGGCGATGACATGTCGACGCCCCGCCCCCCCACCCCTGGGCCAGCAGCCCGCTTTCGCCCCCCCTCGATGCGAGTCTCCCGAGGCCAGCGCCTGCTGCGGCCGAAGCCGTCTCTTCGGAGGAGGAAGGGGTACCCATAGCCCTACCCTTCGCTCGTGCTTCTTTTTTTTGTTGGGCCTCCTGAGAGGCCCGCGTCGCCCACCGCTGAGTTCGCCCCGAAGTGCTGGTCAGACCGCACCCTCAGAGAGAGGTCCGGTGTGTAGCGGTATCGGCAGTTTTTGGTCTCCCCAGTTTCTGGAGTCTTGTGCGTCGCCTCGCGCGGCCCCGCTGCGGCGGCTGCCTTTTGCCAACCCCCCAGCGGGCGCGCTGCGAGGCACAGGCTCTCTCCCCCTCTCTGTACACCCGCACCGTCAATGTTGCACGGCGTAGAGCGGATGGCGAGTGCGCCTCGGCCCGTGCTGCGAGCACTCCGTGCGGAGCCCGTCTCGCCCGTGCCTGCATTCGGGGGCCCCCAAGCGGTGTGGTGACCACACCGCGTGGTGAGGCAGTGGGGATTACTGGTCACCGCACGGTTTTAGGACACGGGTCGTTCTCCGAGGGCGTTTCGGGCCACCCAGGCCTCCGAGGCCCCAGGGCCTTTCGGTGACGCGCCGCGCTGCGAGGTCGGTGGGGATTCCGAGGGCACCACGCGGTGCGTCGCCACACGGCGCTGGGACAGGCACATCCGACCAGAAGCGGGGGGAGAGTGCCCCGCGCGAGCCTGCCGTGGCCAACCTCTCAAGACGAAGCAAGGCCGCCCAGAGCGGTCAGGGAGGGCTGGTGCGATGCGGGTGGGCCTCAGGCGGCAGCTGTGTGATGTCGCGAGCGCTTGACGGGCCAGGGTTCCCTGGATCGGAACGGCCTGTCCAGCCCTGCTCATTGCCTCACGACGCAAAAAGAAGGGGACGTCTGCGCGGACATTGACGCGTAAGCTGCCCGCGTAAGGTCGCGCGTAAGCGCCTTTACTTCAGATGTGGCGTGCCGCGCGGGCGGCCCGCGTAGGCCACCGCGTGAGATCGCCTACGTCATCTCGCGTAAGACCCCTTCTTGATCGTCGCTCTCATGGGCACTCCCGAAAACGAAGCAAGTCAAAAGCAAGCCCTTCTCCACGTGCGCCCTTCTCCACCTCCCTCCGCTCAGGCCGCTCGCCTGGAACGCGGTGGAGGAGGCGAAGGCTCTCGCGCTGGGGGACGAGTTCGACGTGATCCTGTGCTCCGGCTGCGTGGACGAGGCCATGTACGGCCGGCCTGCTTGGGAGGCCCTCGCGGGCTGTCTCAGGGCGCTTTGCGGCGAGCAAACCACCGTGTTGGTCTCCAACGTGCAACAGCCCGGAGACATGAGCGGCATCGGCAGGTTCCTCGCCAGCCTGGCGCCGGACCTCGTGGTTGAGCAGCTGCGGGCCAGAGCGCTCGAGAGGTCCAAGGAAGCAGAGGTGGGCGTCTGGAAGATCCGGAAGCACTCGCGCACAGAGGACTTCAACGTGATGTTGAACGAGCAGCGCCTGCGTGCAAAACTAGTCCCGTTACCCTCGTCTCATTCACTCCTATTCCTCGTCCTCTTCATTCCTGTCCTCATCCTCCTGAGCCTGATCCTCGTCCTCTTCCATCCCGGTCATCATTATTGTCCGCCTGCTCCTCTCCTTCCTTGCCGTCCTCCTCAGCCTGATGTATACGTAATGTATATCCACGGCCCTTTCTCTTCAAGTTTCATCCGTTTTGTGTTGTCATGTCATCCTCTATGGTCTTCCTAGTCGTAATCCTGTGTAAGCATCTTCCTCATCGTCATCATCATCATCATCACCATCATCATCACCATCATCATCCTCTTCTCCTCTCTGTCGCTGTTTCTCTCACTTTCTCTCTCTCTCTATCTCTCTCTCTCTCTCTCTCTTTCTCTCTCTCTCTCTCTCTATATATATATATTCATATATATATATATACATATATATATATATATATGTGAGGCGTTCCAAGGGGGGCCTTGCCTTCGGGGATCGAAGGAGTTGTCATCTCGTCCGCGGCGGAAGGCGGCGGAAGTAAAACGAGGCCGCCTCCGCCGGCGGAAGGGCGGCGGGAGGCGGCGGAAATAAAAACAAACGCTTGCCAAGAGATGGAAACGTTTTTGAGCGCGGTGTTCGACGTGGTCGGCTCCTGGCTCCGATTCGGGCTCCCACCTGATTCGGGCTCCCATCTTTGGTAGGTACAGGCGGCATTGGCGCGGCTGCGACGCCGGCGAAGGCGTTCAAGGTTGAATAGTGCGACGCGGAAGCACTGAGGGACGTGGTAACGCCATGAGACCCCACAGAATTTCGGTTCAAGGTTGAACGATCGACGCGGTGTCAAGAACCTTTGTGCGCGCCGACGCCGCACGACCCTACCGTACCTCCTCGTGATCATGATCTGTCATCGTCATCGCCGCCACCGTCATCATCAGCAGTAATTCATCAGCATGGCCATCGCTCTCAGCGTAAGCATCACCACCACCGCCACCAACACCAGCGGAAACACGAACTGCAGCATCAACCGCATTCGACTCCTGCTCCCACCACTCGGAACGAGCTTCGCCCACGTGCCGCGGCAGGACCCTCCCTGGGGCCCCGGCCTGCCCGCGCTGTCCTCGTGCAGGGCCGGTGCGTCGGGGGCGCGCGCGCTCGCCCCGCTCTCCCCGAGCGCGTTCCGCTGCTCGAGGAGTGCCCAGCCGCAAGCGTCCGGAACAAAACATGTTGTCCTGCATGTAACGGATCGTACATCCCCCACGGCGGATCCAGGCAGGCCACTTGCGAGTGTTTACCTTTGCGAGTAGCGGAACGCGTTAGTCTACGCTCGCCCCCCCCCCCCCCAGGGCGCCCGTCTCCCGGCCTTCGGCCTCCTGGTGTGCATCGGGGGCGGCCAAGAGGGGGGTAATGAGAAGGGGGGGGGGATCTCGTGGCTGGGGCCAGGATATCCCCCCAGATTTCCATAGGCCTCTTCCTCTTTCAGTGCTTTCCCAGGGCCCCCCATGGGCCGCGCACATGCCTCGGGCCATGGTTTGCGCCCCCCCCCCCCCCCCCACCCCCACCACCCCTCTCGGACGCCCCCCTCTTGGGTCGGTGATTCAGAGATGAGGTCCTGAGGGATGGGGTCCTAAGGATAGGAAGGGATCGAAGGGTGGATTCACATTGTTTGAGGCACCTCTTCCGTAGCACCCCATCCCTGAGGACTCCATCTTTGAACCACCGACCCAAGGGGGGGGCGTCCAAGAAGGGGAGGGGCGCAGACCATGGCCAAGTGCAGTGCGACGTGTGCACGGGGCCGCAAGGGTGCGACCAAACCTCTCGGACACCGACGCCGGACCACGGACATTCCCCCTGCCGTCCTCCCCCAGTTGCTTCCCCGCGCCGGCCTCGGCCCGGAGGGCTCCGGCCCACCCGCGCTGGGCTTCTATCAGGAGGGGAAAAAACACACAGACACAATTAATCGTCCACTCCCAGGAAAATATGGGAAAATATGGGAAGTGCGGGGGAAGACAAAAACTCAAAAAAATATGAAAATATGGGGAATATTTTTATTTGTGTGCATTTATTTGTGTGTTCTGGGGCCCCTTTATTCTAGTTCCCGGCCCTGGCGGTCACCGTGCGACTTGGGGGCTCTCTTCGAGTGGATCTTGGCCGGAAGGGGTCAGCCCAACCTCCCCCCCTCTTTCTCCCAAGCAGTGACGAAGCGTCCTGGCTCGCCTATAGCCCCACCAAACAATGTCCTGAGAACGTCTTGTGACTTCCCACGAAATGTTCTCAGAACATTTCTGGCTGGGACTGCCTTAGTTTGACACATCGGCTTAACGTTCTACGAACATTGTTTTTGTTCTTAGAACATTTTTGGGTTCTACCTAAGAGCACGTCGTGGAAGGACTCTAGGAATGCCGGGACGGTCGGTCCCTGCTCAAGTCTCCCGGGAGCAACGGCAGGAGGGGACAGGCTCAGAGAGGAGCGCATCGGCCCCCCATCGCCCACGGACCGCCGATAGGGGGCCCGAGGGCCCACCCCGCCCGGGAGCGCGCGGTAACAGCCACTGTGGAGGCCCATCGCCGATCCATCGGCGATGCGCCGCCGATGGCACGGCGATGCTTCCCACCACCCCCCTCGAGCCGGTCCCCCCCGCATCGATGCCCCTCGAGCCGAGGGGCGCCCGAGCACCGCGCTGGCCTCGGCGGGCCGAGGTGCTCATGGGCGAGAGCCGCCTCCTGGAGCCCTTCGTCGCCGGCATCGACCGCTTCAGCTCCGCGCACGCGCGCGGCTCGCTGGCCTTCGGCGCGGTGGGGCTGCAGGGGAGCCCCTCCCCAGACGGAGGGGGGGGGGGGCGGGCTGGGAGAGGAGGAGGAGGGGGAGGAGGGGGAGGTGGAGCAGAAACAGGAGGAGGGAGGACGCGGAGGAGGAGAGGAGGAGCAGGAGGAGGAGGATGAGAAGGAGGAGGAGGAGAGGAGCAGGAGGATGAGGATGAGGAGGAGTGAGGAGGAATGAGGGGGTGGCGGTGGTGGTGGTGGCGGAGGAGGGGAGGGGAGGAGGAGGAGGAGGAGGAGGAGGAGGAGGAGGAGGAGGAGGAGGAGGAGGAGGGAGGGAGGAGGGAGGGAGGAGGAGGGAGGGAGGGAGGGGAGGGAGGGAGGGAGGGAGGGAGGGAGGGAGGGAGGAGGAGGAGGGAGGAGGAGGAGGAGGAGAGGGAGGAGGAGGAGGAGGAGGAAGAGGAAGAGAAAGAGGAGGAGGAGAAGGGGAGGAGGAGGAGTGGAGGGAGGAGGAGGAGGAGACGGAGGAGGACGAGGACGAGGAGGAGGAGGAGGAGGAGGAGGAGGAGGAGGACGGACGAGGACGAGGACGAGGCGCAGGAGGAGGAAGAGGAGGAGGAGGAGGAGGAGGAGGAGGAGGAGGAGGAGGCGGAGGAAGCTGAGGAGGAGGAGGAGGGGGGTGGCTGGGAGGGGACGGGGGGATGGAGATATGGCTCCGGGGGAAAGGAGCGGAGCGGGGCAGCGGGGAGAAGGAGGATGAGGAGGAGGAGACGGCGGCGGGCTCATCAGGGGCACTGGTCAGTTCAACGCTGGCATGCGGCAGGAAGACAGCAAGCCACAAAAAGTTCACCCAAGTCCCTCGAGTGCGCTAAGCAGCGGGCGTATGCCAATGGGGAGGGGGCTTAAATGCCCCAAGGCGGGCCCCAGCATCGGAGGTATCCTTGAGGTTACCTGGCGTCCCCAACAAAGTTGGGAAGCTAATTGCAGTAGGCCACTGTTTCAAACACGGAAAGAGTCATGTGACAAAAGGGGGAGACAACACAAACGAAACGTCTGGGACCCTGGTGCTTCTGGGTTCCTCGGAGGCGCTCTGCCCACCAAGCGCGGGATGCTGGCTTCGAGGCTGCTGCAGCTGGGTGGACGAGGAGGAGTCGGGGGCCTCGGCGCGTGGGAGGGAGGAGGGGTGATCCTCGCACGAGGGACCGCGGGGCTCTGGGCTCTCGGGGTACGCCTCTAACCCCCCGCAGAGGGGGAGGGAAGCGAGAGGGGCCTCGGAGGACGAGTCGAGGCGGAGGGAGGAGCGGGGAGGCACTCGGCCGCTGCCCTTCTCCTCAGGGCAGGCGGAAAGCTATTGGGCCAAGCCCCATCAACTAGCCGTGTGCTCCTCAAAGTTGTTGGTTCCGCTGTCCCCGACGTCGAAATCAAACCCTCTGGACTTGCAGGCAGTCTTGGTTGTGCCGGAAAAACGAGGAAGGGCTTGCTACCAGGATTCGCGTGGGCGCAATCTTCGACGAAGTGGTACGAGCCAATGATCTCGATGGAACATCGGGCAAATCAACAGGTGTCAGCTCCTGTCTCTGCCGAGGGGTCACATGTTCATTTGCTCAATGTTCTCCAACATTACTTGCATCAGCCTCTCGTTGTGGGACCTTGGGGGTGTACCCTGCTTCAGCTCCGCGCCTAGTTGCTTCAAGGAGTCGATCAACGACGGAATCACTCCCGTGGCTTCGGCCGCCACGTGGATCTTCATCACTTTCCTGTCGTGCGTGAACGAACGGCGGCAGTGGCGCACCTTCTCGCACATCTGCTCGTTGGTAATCGTGGGGTCCGCCCTGATCCAGTCCAGATAATCGGCGATGGCTTTCGCGCTGGCCGCTCCCACCCTCTCGCCCTGCTGGCGAACTGCTCCGAGAAGTGCTAGCCACAAATGGGGGTGAGGAACTCCGAAGGCGTCCAGTTCGGGTGCCTTTTGCTTCTCGCGCAAGGCCTGGGCGTGCTCTTTGCGAAGCCTGGTGGCCCCCTGGACAACGAACTGGCTCGTGACTTGAATAGCCTGGCAAATCGGATGCTCCTTCTGCAAGTGTATCTGGTGGTACGCGGTCGCCTCCAGCGCGTTGATGCTCTGAGTGTTGCGCAGGGCCATGCGGACCACGACTGGGATGACGGCCTGGATGAGCTCATCGGAATGGCGTCCCCCCTGCAGCCTCTTGAGGTCCTGCCTCTGCAGACCGAACGTCTGGTCGGCTTGGCCCAATGCGCCCGCGAGCGCCCTGCCGATGCGATCCCAGCTCGAGTCCCGGCCGAGGCTCTGGTTCAGGAGGAGAAAAAACACACAGACACAATTAATCGTCGACCCCCCAGAAAATATGGGAAGATATGGGAAGTGGTGGGGAAGACAAAGACCCAGAAAATATGGGAAAATATGGGGGATCTTTTTATTTGTGTGTATTTATTTGTGTGTTCCAGTTCCCCTTCACCGATGGCACCCTCTTCCCTGTGGTCGCTGCTGCTGGCGCTGGGCGCCTCGGCCTCGTGCTGGGCGGCCTCGGCGGTCACCGCCGCGGGGGAGCGGAGGGCGCGGCCTCGCGCCCGGGGCTCCCGACCCGTGGCCCTCCCTGGCAAATCCACGGGTAAGCGTGGGGGCAGGGGGGGCGTGTGCTTCCCGAGCGTGCCTCCGCAACTCGGGCGACGGCTCGAAGGGTGCCCCTCGCGCCGATCCAGGCGGCGAGCATCCCACCCGGATCGACGCGAGGGGAACCCTTCGAGCCGTTGTGCCCGAGTTGCCGAGGCACGCCACCTGGATCAGCGCGAGGGGAACCCTTCGATTGAAGGTGACCGCGAGCCTCTTTTTGCGTGGACCTACATTGCCTTTTTTGCGAAGTGCCGAAGCCAAATCCACGCAAGGAAGGCAAGGTGGGCCCACGGGTGCCCGGACGGGCGGAGCGCCCGGGCTCGCGTCACGCGAGCATAGCTTCCCCCTTCGGAGAGTGGCTGTGCCACGTGGCGCCGAGCAGTGGCCTGGCTTCTGAGCGTCGACGTACGGTACAAGCACCGATGGGTGACTGGGGCTCCCGAGCGAAGTGACCCCCCCCCCCAGGAACTCGTGGGGGGTAGGGGTGGGGTTCGCATGTGGCCCCCTAGGGTGGTCACGGGCATGTGCGCGGGGGCCCTCATCTTATGCGACGGGTGGTGACGCGGGTGTGCAAAGAGGCTTTTTGTGTTGCAGTAGGCCTCCCCACGCCTCCCACCCTCCCCATCACCAGGTGGGTCACAAACGTATTCTTGTATGGGTTCCTCAGGGGCAGCCTGCTGGGCTCTTCTAGTATGAGCTGAACTCCTGAGGGCTGGGGCCGTTCTGAGGACGAGGGGTTGAAGCTGCAGAGCTTCTTACTCATGGATGGGACAGTGAGGATCTCCCAGAGCGAGCGCGTCGCAAGAAACTCAGGCCATTGCGGAGATACTGTAGGACCCCGACAATTTGTTCGAGCTGTTTCGCCCAGGGATTCGCGGTGCTGGCAATCATGACAGTCGGTGTGAAAGTATTGTTTTCCCCAAGGCCGTCGAGCCTTCTGAACAGCGCCGCGAAGACCTGCCTGCCGTCGGGAGGGTAGCGAACAAGGCGCTGCCACTGGCGTCACCGTCGCATCGTCAGTTCGGCCTTGGAATCCGTGATGCTGGGAGCTTTTAAGACCTGGTGTTCGGACATGGATCTATATTTCGGGTTGGCCCCTGGGTACTCAGGATCAGACATCTGCCGACGGTCACGCAAGACAACGCGTGCGAAGTTGAGCACGACTGCGTCGAGCCTCTTTAAATCGAGCTTCTCAGGGAGGTTGGTCGCCAACCCCAGGTAAGCCGCGCTAACTATGATGCCCAAAAACGCCATCCTTTTGAATCCGAACGAATGCGTAGTGTCCCAGAAGCGCCCCAACCTCCACGCCGCCCACGTCGCCTCCACCCTCCTCCTGATCTCAGCTCCACATCCTCCAGCTAACTGCTCCATTCCTCCCAGATACAGCGACCCCGCGGACACCACACCTAGAAGATGAACGCCTTGGGAATGCAACGTCCGAGTAGCTGTGTAGGCCCTTGGGCCCACCATCACTGGCATGCACACCTCCTTGTCGGGAGTTTGGGCGAAACCTCCCTGGTCCCTGAGTTCTCGGTTGAGGATGGCGTTCGAGGCGAGCACGCTTGTCCTGGCCCCCCCAGCGGATTCGGGCTGGAGAGCGGCAACGTCTGATGGATATCGTCGGCGTAGTTCTCGCATCGAAGCATCGTGCATCTCATCCGTCAACGGGCGCGTCATGACGTTGGCAGTCCGCGCGAGCGGGACAGGGGCAGGCAGCCGAGCGTCGTGAATCATGGCCGCGTCATCTGGCAACTTCTCACTCCAGGCCTCGATGGGGCCTCGAGAGACCTCTCACAGACAATTCGCATGCGCTCCTATCCCCCATCCCAGCCCCACGCGCAGGCTGAAAGTATCCCACCTGTTCTCCCGCCCTACTCTTCATCACCGCCTCCGCGTGGCATTGATGTGGGAACGCGCGGTCCTGAGGATGCGGAATGATGGCCCGCGCCGTTTCTTGCAGCGCCTCGTGCGGGGTCAAAAGAAGGCGTTGGACGGGTCCTTCTTTATCAAGAGGTGTGACGTGTGCATCTTCTTAAGCCTCCAGCTGTGTATCTTGGCGGCCAACTGTGCATTATGTCTAGACCGACGTGGGGCATGCCCGTGAGCACGGGGAGGGAGATGAGGACGACGACGACGAACGAACATCCCTCGATACCATCCTTTCGCGAAAGGACAATAAGAGTGGATCAATATCGTCGCTTCCGCGCCTCTCTTGGAGTTCCCCTTCGAGAGCTGGAAGGTCCTACTCCGGTGCCACTGGCTAGGCGTTCTTGTCGTCGCCCGGATCTGGCGGTGGACGCGCCGCAGGCGATCAATGAAACAAGGGCACTCAACGCGCCGTCTCAAACGAGCGCCCTCCTGCGCGCGATCGGACAGATGCTCAAGACGGGGCCGCTCACCACTTAGATCACGAGTGGCCTGTTGCATGAGCCAGTACCGCGACTCCGCGGGCACCGATGATCTGGAGCGCACCGCTGGCGCGCAGCTCGGCGGAGTTGATCCAGTGTGCGAAGCCAGGCATCGTGAGCAAGAGAGGCAGGAGCCCCTCCGTGCTAGTCCAGTCCTTCGTCGGCGAGGCGCTCCAGTTCTGGCTGTGCTGCTTCCCGTGGAGAGGAAAGGACATTCGCGCTGAATCCACCGTCTCGAGCATTCGCCACCATTGTCTGCTTCCACTCCTCAAGATTTGGCAAGTACTGATCTTGTACGTTGTACACGCGCTGCCGCGTGCCGCGGCACCTGGCTCCTACCGCGTAGATGGTGCGCCAGAGGTTGTGCCTGTCGCTGTAGGCGTGGTGCAGACTTGCCCCCTCAATGAGCTCCTCGATCTTCTTCAAGTCCAGTCGGCGCTTGAGAGCCTTCAGCTCGCTCTCAATGGCGCGCAAGTTCAGACGGTCAGCCTCCGTGTAGTAGGATCTGCGGGCGTCCTTGCGATATGCCAGCGCTTCGGCCCTGCGTTGAAGCAGCGGTTGTAGTGGTCCATCGCGTACTTGAGATTGGAGGGCTGCTTCTGGGAGGGTTGTTTCTCGAATATCATGGACCAAGGCCTACCACGCAGCACTGGGGCCCAGCTGTGCAACCTGTGTCTCCCAAGTCCGCTTACTATTCTCAGAACGCCGCTCCAATTCACCCATGACCTCAGTGCCGTCCCCATGTGTCCGAGAAGCTTGACAAGAAAACATTGTTTTCCATCTGGCTCCTAGGGGCGGCGAAGGCGGAGCCTCCAGGATATACTTGGCCCGCCACAGCAGCGGGCCGTGACCCCTGGGCTCCCAGTCGGGGATGGCCTGCAGCTCCTTCAGGGGGGCACCCCCGAGTGCTCTCTAGTTTGTTGCTGTGTTTTTATGGGCGCGCTCTCCCCAGAGTTCGGGGGCGGCGTCTCCCGCTCTGGGGGCGTCAGGGACGGTTTTCTCTCGGAGCTTCCCGTACCCTGCACCCCCCTCGCGCGATGTCAGCAATGTCTGTATTCTTGCCGGTCGCTCTCGTCCTCCTGCTCCTTTCTCTGCTGTGCTCTCTCCTCCTCCTCTTCCTCTTGTGCCTTGCGTCGCATTGGCATCCGTGGCACTAGATGCCCGCTCATCTGGCAAAGCGGCATTGCCCTGCATGCCAGGCTGCTACAGAGCTTACCTCAGCTGGAGGTCCCAATTTGCACTAGACTCGCGTGGGGCCCCTGTGCGCACACCAGCTCTGTCTCTGCCTGGAGCGCCTGGTCTTCGCACGCGCGAGATTCTCTGACGGGCCCTTGCTGGCTTGTCACTCTCCTTTGGCGTTCTCCCTCCCGTCCCCTGCTTGCTCCTGCCGCCTGGCTTGCCGCTGTGCGTGTTTGAGTTTTGTATGTGTGGACGTTTGGGCCGTAGGGGTCCGCCGCACAGCGTCCGTTCCACTCCTCTCTCCTCCTCCTCCTCCTCCTCCTTCTCCTCCTCCTCCTCCTCCTCCTCCTCCTGTTTCACGCTCCCGCTGCTGCGCAATGTGATGACAAGACAAGCTCTGGGGTGCGGGCTTGGCCTGAGGGAACAACATGGTCTTCAGGGATGTTCTTCTGGTCTAGGTCCAACTGCATCGTCTGCCGTGACTTGCGCTCCGCAAGCCGAGCGGCCTCTTCCCAGAGCCCCGACGTCATGTTGTTTTCGTAACGTCGACCCCCACAGGACTCGACCCACTCCCCGGGAGCAGGTTCCTAGACCGAGTCCTTGTCTGACAGTCCCGAGGCCTAGTAAGGCCCCCAGAGGCTCAAACTAGCGAAGCGTCCGAGAGGCCGAGCATAGCGAGTCATCTCCCGTCCTGATTTTTTCGTGACTCGAGGGGGCCTGGGCTCCCAGGAGCCTGAACCTCGTCTTCGAGGCGGGAAGTTGTGTCGACGAGCTAAGATAACATAGGCACCGTGCGGCTGTGCGCTGGTCTTCTTGCAGGCGGCGACCCCGCGGCCACAAGATGGCGCGAGCGCGCCCATGGCTTGCCCTTCTCCACGTTTCTTCTTCTCCTCCTCCTCCTCCTCCTCCTCCTCCTCCAACTCTCCATTTTCTCCTCTCTCCCTCTGGGTCTCTTCTTCACCCTCCCCCTCCCTCCTCCTCCATCCTCATCCTCTCCTCCTCCTCCTCCTCCTCCTCCTCCTCTTCCCCCTCCTCCTCCTCCTCTTCCCCCTCCTCTTCCCATTCCTCCCCCTCCTCTTCCCACTCCTCCTCCTCCTCCTCCTCCTCCTCCTCCTCCTCCTCCTCCCCAGGAGCCTGAACCTCTTCTTTCAGGCGGCCATCCCGCGGCCCCCCGACCCCGACGACGACGCCTTCCTGGGAGGCGTCAGCCTCGCCGTCTTCGCGCCCGCGGCCGCCGCCGGCGAGCGCCCCTGGGGAGGGGCCCCGCCCGCTCACCGGTGCGGGCTCGGCGGGTCCACGGTGTCCAGCCGAGCTGCGAGCAGGAGGTCGGCTGCAGGAGATCGGCGGCAGCATTGATGCACCGAGGGCGCTCTCGAGGGCGCGAAGGGCTTCGCGCTTTGCGCTTCGGCCCCGATGCTTCCGCGTCCTCACCTTTTAGCCCCTGGGGGGCGGCGCGGGAGCGCGAAGCTCTTCGCGCCGCGCACAGCGAGAAGCGAAAGATTCGGCGCCCTTGGAGGTCGGCTGCAGAACTGGTTTCCCCCCGGGGATGGATTGCCGTTCGCCGAATTCACAAAAACAGATGCGTAGAGTGTTCGTGGATCTACGGAGCACTCTGCGTACTTCATTCGTGAATTTAATTGGTTTTAGGGTTTAAACAAATGGTCGCAGCCACGCAGAGGGCGCGCGTAGTGACGCCCCAAATGCTCGGTCTCCAGCACTTCTACGTGGCGGCGCCCCCGCAGGCACGCAGAGGGCACGCGTGGCGACGGGGGCGTCGCCACGCAGAGCTTCTAAAGACCAAACATTTTGAAAACCAATTGTTCCCACTACTAAAATATGTGTTGTGCAGCCGGCGAAAGAAACAAGTCGGGGGTAGAGCAATTCTGCAGTCGATCCCCTGCTCGAACTGTATCCAGCCGATCTACAGCTGCATCGACCGTTCAGACCCGGACCTCCAGCAGATTGGTCTTTTCAATTCGGGTGGTTCTCTTGATCTCGGCCTCCAGGGGCTACTTCGGCCCCTGGGGCCATCATGAATCAAGCCGAGATGAAAGATTTCCCCCAGGGGAACGGTCGGGAATTTGGGTGCCGCGGATTGGCACAAAGCACATCCCCAGATGTTTTGAGGCGTCTCTTCTCAGATGTCGGGCCGAGCGTTTCTTCGGCAACTCGATCGAGGAGGCGGAGACGTGAGACAAAAGGAATGGGGCCGGTTACTGACAGCAGCTCCGGTTTATTTGGGGCAGGATCCGTTGTCTGTCAAGTCTATCGCGGTCAGTGTAGAGACGAAGGCTGGCTGTCCAGCAGCAGTTGTGTTGCCAGCGTCCGGCAACAATTTTTTGCTGAACATCGTTTCCATGAATGTTGTTGTCCCGATATATAGGACATGCCAACTGGAGGCCGGCCCGGCGTCAGCTCCAACATTGGCCTGAAATTTGTCTTGGGTTTGTTCGGCCGGCCGTTTCTTACCCATCGCCCTGGCTGTAGTCGGCGGGCGACAAGCTCTACGACGCAAATTTGTCCGTGGTGATTGGTCCACATCTCAGTTCGGCCCCTTTTTGGTTTGCATGGTATACACCCCCTCGTCTGCTGCAGTCAGACCGAGATATAACATCGAGGTCGGTCCGGGGAGAGTGCCCTCGTGTTCTTGTCTGTTTTGGCCGACGGAGGGTCTCATATTCTTGAAAGATGTTCTTCTGCTCTAGGTCCGAATGTAATGCAGGGCGCTCCAGAGGGGGTCTCGTCTCTGCGGCGTCTTGGTGTCTGGTCTCTCGCCCACGGCGGAAGCTGGCGGAGGGCAGCGGCGCGCGAGGGGACAGGGGCTGTGGCGCAAAGATGTTCGCCTGCCTCAGCTCTCTATCTTCGTCGGGCCTCTGGCGTAGTACAGTGAGGGCGGTTGTTAAGGAATATGCCCAAGAGGCTTCAGGGGTATTCCTGATCTGCTAAAAACGGCGGTGTCATACGTGGCCAATCCACAATTGGAGTTCCACCGGCTTCCAGACACTGGATTATTTATCCAATTGTTTCTTGTCCAAAGCCCTCACCGTATTGTGCAGCATGCAAGTGCCGTCTCTCTGGCTGCCTCCAGCGCCCAACTGTCTATCTCCTGAGCAGAATGCTCACTGGGCCAGTGCCTTCCAAGCACGAGCGCCCAGAATGTCTTCCGATCGTCAGCCCAGATCCTGGGAACGGCTGGTCAGCCTTCCAGATCCCCTTGGCCACTCTTTGGCCACCCGCAGGCCGGATCTTCCACCCGAGAGAGCGGGGGGGGAGGAGGGGAACGGCGGCGAGCGCGGAGGAGAGGACTGTGCCGCTCTACGTCGAAGCCGATTTGGCCGACGAGTGTCTCTCGCACATGTGTGTTCCCTCTGGGGGCAGAGTCTTGAAGAGAGGTCAGGGCAGGAAGTTGCAAGCCAGGATTCTGAGAACTCCAGCGTGAGAGAACGAACAGTGGCAAATGTTTCGACCCACGGCTACATTTTTTCTCAGGCGCGCCAATGTCCGAATTTATCAAAAGCCCCCGTCTACGGGGCCTTGAAGAAGACCGCGGTAGCCTGTGGGAGAGAATTGGTGCTGTCCCTGCCAGCAAAAGTCGCCGGAGCCAGTTCCAGAATGTTGTCGTCCAACTGGGGTTGGGGCTGCATCGTCGTTCGCGTGCCCACAGTCGGCGGGTTGCTCCACAGTCTTGAGCGCATCGGGCCCGCTCGATCAGGACCCCGACTTCCCGGCGTTCTGAAAAGGAGGAGGAGAAGGGGGAGGGGGGAACCATAGACGCCACGATCATCCGATCTAGGCCCGAGCAACGCCCAAAAAGGGAGAAACCAGGCTCGATGATCGAGATTTTGGGATGTTCTTGGGCTGTCTTGTGCCTCCTGGAGGCCCCTCGTCGCTATACGGCTGGATGCCCTTCGAATTCTGGTCAGAGCGTACCCGTCAACAGGTCCTCACGTTTCGCAGCGTCCTGACAGACGTCAGGACGGATCGTGTTGTGCAGTGCCCCGCCTCCAAGAGGCCGCTTTCGGGCAACGGGGCCGTCAAGGAACGATCGGGGGCGAACGCCTGGTCACCGGGGTCGAGGGGGTCGTGGGGCCCGCGGGCTGACACGAGGGGTCACGACATCGGAGATCGGGTGGTCACGGTCGGGCCCTCGTGTGAGCTCAGACGGGCGTGGCGCTTCTGAGGCGAGCACCAGCGCCAGTGGCGGTTTCTGGAGTGCCTGACGCTCCACGTGAGCACCAGGCTCTGGCTCGCCTGCGTGATGTCAGCCTCTGCTGCCTTCGGCTTCCCTCCCTCGTCCGGTGCTGAGGGCTCGCTCCTGGCGCAGCGCTGCCCCGCCATCTCCCCTCCCGGTGCTCCCCATCTCTTCCGCCCTCTCTCCCCCTGCTCGCGCTGCCTCTTGCTCGCGCTCCCCTTGCTCGCGCTGCCTCTTGCCTGCGACCGTCTTCTCTTCCTCCCCGCCCCATCCGCGATGCTCTTCATCTTTCTTCTCTCGAGGACGAGCAGGAGGAGGCGAAGGGAAGGGGGAGGAGGGGGAGGAAAGGGAAGGGACACGAGGAGGCGGAGGAGGGAAAAGGGGCGAGAGAGAAGGAGGAGGGAGGAGGACGGTAGGAGGAGGAGGAGGAGGAGGAGGAGGAGGAGGAGGAGGAGGAGGAGGAGGAGGGGGAGGAGGGGGGGGAGCAGGGGGGAAGAGGAGAATGGGGAGGAGGAGGAGGAGGAGGAGGAGGAGGAGGAGGAGGAGGAAGAGGAGCAGGGGAGGATCTCGATCCCCCTCTCCACCTCCGCTCGCCTGCTCGTCGAGGGCGGACTCGAGGTGGCCAACGCCGTCATGTTGTTTTGCTCTCTGGCCCTCACCCTCACCTCCTCCCCTCCCCCCCTCCTCCTCCTTCCCCTCCTCCCGCTCCTGCCCCTCCTCCTACTCCCTACTCCCTCTCCTCCTCCTCCCCTTCCTCCCCCTCCTCCCCCTCCCCCTCCTCCTCCTCCTCCTCGTCCTCCTCTTCCTCCTCCCACTCCTCCTCCTCCTCCTCCTCCTCCTCCTCCTCCTCCTCCTCCTCCTCCTCCTTCCTCTCCGCTTTCTACTCCTCCCTTCCCTTCCTTTTCCCTCCCTCCCTCCCTCCTCCTCCCTCCTTCCCTCCCTCTCCCCTCGCCGCGAACGCCCCTGCAGCCTGCGCCGAGTCTGCCGGCCAGCACACCTCATGCCCATCGTGATTCTGACATGGCCATGCTGAAAAGCCAGCCAACACGTACCGCGTTCAAAACGTCCGTGTTCACGCGTTGCGTGTTGGCTCGACACGTGTTGGCGAACGGATCACGCCAGACCTACAGTGGAGCCCATGCCAATAAACACCATACTTACCGCCAGGGTGCCTTGGCGTCTTGGGTTGTGATGGTTTTGCGATGGAGAGCGTAACATTCCCACATCAAAAATCAATGGACGTCCTGGGGTCTCAGGGTTGGGTTTCCTGTGGAAGGGTTCTTGTGGTCGAGCTCATCATGTAGGTTTTCAGTCTACGTGTTGAGATGATGTCCGACGTACGCAACAGCAGGAAGTGAGGGAGAATGATGCTTTTCAGCTGCGCTGTGCAGGGGCTTCTTGCCACTCCGCTGCCCAGCGCCCTCAATTACCTCGGCTGTTCAGTCCTCCCCGCACCCCCCCTTGCATCCTCGTCGGCCTTGTACCCCACCCCCCGTTCCTCCCGCTCATCATGCTCCTGATGCTACTCATGCAGCTATTCCTCCGCCTCCTTCCTCATCCTTCTCCTCGTCCTCTGCATCCTGCTCATCCGCCACCTCCTCAAACGTACACAGCTCCATGGTTGGGGTTCCAGGTCAGCTATGACACTCATCTGCGGACAAAGAACAACAGCGCTACGGGAAGGGATAGGCGGGATGGGATGGATGTGAGGTCTAGCGCGAGCGCACATAGCTTGGCCCCGTCTCTCAACTCTCCCATATCCCTTCCTCCCGTCGCCTACTTGCGGTGTACAGAGGTATGTGTTGCGCGGGAGACGCGAACCCAGACGAGGTGCGAGAGCGGAACACAGTATGAGGCATGGTGCAGTAATATGATATTGGTGAGTGCATTTTGAGCATGCGGGAGATTGACGTCAGCGCGCGTGTGTTCGGTTGCATCTGCGAGAGTATGCCTTGGCAGGTTTCCCCTCGGCTTGGTCTTCTCTGACACCGCCCTGAGACAGTACACCCACATGTTCCGACTGTTGGCGCTAGTGCATTTAGCGCTGGAGAGCGTGAACCAGGCCTGGTTTCATGGCGTCTGCGTTGCATCGGTCCCGACGTCGGCCCTGGTACTGCGCCAGAACATGCACTTCTTTGTGGTGACCATGCAGAGGCAAGCGCCTTTGTGGTGGCGATCGCCCAGTTCGAGGGAAGTAGAGCAGTTTAATGAAGGAAGTCGGGGGGGAGGGGGTCAGCCACCGGCCATGGCCTCTGACTCATGTGATCCAGGCAGGCACTGAAATCTGCGTCTTGCCGCATGGCTTGGCCCATGGCGTATGGTTCATTACACCGCACATGGCTTGTGTCAAGCCTCATGGTTTCGATTGGGATAGTGAGATTCCACTGTTTCTCTGGGCAGTCCTTTCTAAGTGCTTGGTTCCTGGCTTGCTGTCGCATCATAGGGCCAGCAATGACTAGAAGTGAACGGAACTGTCGGTGAACAGTGTTCCAGACGATGAAGGTGTGTACGCTTGGCTATGGACTCTTGAGCGCGCCTCTGACTGGATTTGGACGAGTCGGAAGTCTCCTTCGCGACCTCCCTCGAGAATCCCCTTGATACGGTGATGCCAGCATCCTTGTTTATTTTAGCAACGTTTGCCCCGGTGCTCGGCGCCATCCTTCCTAGTTCCCACATGGCTCAATCAATACCTTATTCGCGTCGCCGATGAGGTATTTGCTCGTGGATGTCATCGCCACAGAGGCTGTCAAGCTGGAGGCAGCCGTCGAGAAGGCAGAGTCACTCGACGCGTTGCTAGCAGCCCACGACAACTTCCTGCACCGCTGCGAGCAGAAATCCTTCCTCAGCGCAGAGACAGCGGGCGGGCCTTTGTTTGCCTTATTGCGACCTGCTACCCGGGAGAGAGCTTCCCTCCTTGTGCTCAGTTCAAGGCCCGCCCCCTCGAGGAGAAGAAGGGAGGAGGCGGAGGAGGAGGAGGATGAGAGTGGAGGGAGGAGGACGGGGAGAGAGTAGGGAAGGGGAGGGAGGGGTCGAGGAGCTCCCGAGGACGAGCTAGGCCAAGCCAAGCGGCACTTGGTGAAGCCAGGCCAAGCCAATCCAGGATAAGCCACGCTAAGCCATGCCAATCCAAGCTCGGCTGCGCCTCCTCCTCCCCCCGCGTCCTCCCCTCCTTACCCTGCCACTCATCCTCGCCTCCTCCTCCTCCTCCTCCTCCCCATCCTCCTCCTCGTCCTCACCCTTCTCTCTGCTTCCCCCTTCTCTCCCTCTATCTCCTCCTCCCCCTCCTTTCTTGCTTCTCATTCCACCACCACCCTCTTCGCCAGCTCCTCCCGTTCCTTCCACGCCTGGTCTCCCTCCAGGCTGGCGCCCCCTTGGGGCGGACCGCCCGCAGTGCTCTCTCGAACGCCGCTTTCGAGGCGGAAGCCCAGACCCAGCCCAAGGGGGCCATAACCAGAGCGCGCAGTCGAAAGGCATGCTCACAGGCACGGGCGATAGGGACGGACACGAACATGGGGCGTGGGTTCCACAAGGTTAGGGGATCCCCATCATTCTCTTCTCTTCAAGTTGGTGCCGATCTTTCCCATTCTCCTCCTCCACGTATGCTGCCCTGGGCCATTCTTCGAGCCATCTGCCTTGCCACGTGGGCCTCTCTGAGGCCATGTTCAAAACCTTTCGCGGCTTCCAGGGCGCCTGGAAAAAACACTTGAGATTCGAACGATTCCCTTTCGTTGTTTCAAGCTGGCGCCAGTTCCCTTAGACACCAAAGCCCAGTGATGCCGGTTCCAACGATTACCATAGGCCTCTCTTGCACCACCCCCATCTATTATTTCTCCTCCTCCTCCTCTTCCTCCTCCTCCTCCTCCGGTTCCTTCTGATCTCCCTACCAGGCTCTTCCCTGGCCTTTCGAGACAGCGCTCGGGGACCCCCAACAAGCAATGCATTGGGTTCCTGGCAGTGTTTGAATGATTTCGGCAGGTTCGAATACATGATTTTGATTTTAGAACCAGGTCCCCATGCAACAGAGCACCCAGTCGGAAATGAGATCAGCGCAGCAAATATAGGCACGATAGTCCTACGGAGGACGGGTGGCGAAAGAGAGAGAGAGAGAGAGCGAACAACAAACAAACAACAGCATAATAACATCATCAAAAGGCCAAAGGAAGTCAAGCACGATGAGCAGCAAACGCAGGAAGATACGACTGATGAATCACAGCATGTCCTATCGTGGCGCGAGCCGTCCAATATCAAAGCTGGAAGTTGAGAGCGCGCGCGAAGCGCGTGCGGAGGTTCTAGTGTGCATGCAGATCTGTGCATACATGCTTGCAAACATATGTACGAAAGTGTAGATATAGGCATACAAATACATCATGGCCATACATGTGTATGTATACATATGAATACATGTATACACGTAGTGGCATTCGGCCCATCCCGCCTCTGTGCCTGGGATCTAGGTCGAAGGCCTCCGGGATGCCTGTGGGGATCTCTTTGGAGGCCTCTCGGAAGCCTCTTGGATTCGGTTTTGATGGTATTTGGGGGGCTTCTCGGGGGTCTCATGGCGGTCTCCTGGGGCCTGACTTGGGCCCCTTGAGGAAGGACTGCTGGCGGCCTCGGGAGACATCTTGGGGCGAAGGGCGAAGGGCTCGAACTGTCGGTTCGCGTTCCCCCTCTGAACCCTCTCTTGGGCCCCCCTTGGGGCCCTGAAGGGCAGTCTTGGGAGCCTCCGAGGCCATCTTGGGGCCATCTTGGGCCGTCTGGTGGCGCTCTTGGGGGTCTCTTGGGGCGATCGCGGGGGCCTCTTGGGCCGTCTTGGAGCGTCGAGAGCCCGAACAAGCGTGAGGACTAAAATCATTCGAAGACCTAGAGTCAATGATTTTAGCATCTCGTGGCCCTCTTGGGGGGCCTCTTGGAGTTCTCTTTGGGCGTCTTGGGGGCCTTTTGGGCCGTCTGTGGGCCATCTTGAGAGTGATGGAGCGATCGTTGGGCGACTCGGGAACGTCTTAGACCGTCTGTGGGGCATTGTTGGTGCCCTCTTGGCCCGTCATAGGGGGGCCTTCTGCTTTTGGAAAGTCATGCGAGGAAGCCTGGGAACGCTCGGGATCGCTAAGAAGATTTGAGATTTCAGGATCCCTGCATGATATGTGTACACATCTAAATATATACAGAGAGAGAGAGAGAGAGAGAAATGGGGAGGGGGTCCCAGGGGCCCCCGGAGTGCACTCATTTCGTACCCAGCAGTTTTGGACCATTCGGCGGACGCCAGAACGCGTCAAAGGAGGGGAAGGGGGGCGACGAGAGGGCCCGAGAGACGTCCGAGAGGGCGCCAAGATGGCTCAAGAGCGCTCCGAGAGAGCCCAGGATCGCACAAGAGCGTTTCAAAATTGGTCCAACATGGCTTGAAGACAGCCCAAGGGCTTCAAGACGGCCAAGATGCCCTCAAACACGAGGCCCTCATCGAGAGCGTTTGACGCTTCTTCGTGTTCTCGCTTTTGCGTGCTTCCGACGGCCCAAGACAGCCCACGAGGTCCCAAAGACGACCCAAGACGACCCAAGAGGCACCCAAAGAGGGCGCCACGACGGCGCAGGGTAATCCCAAGACGGCCCAAGAGTGCCCCATGACGGCACCCAAGAGGCGCCCAAGATTGCCCAAGAGGGCCCCAAGACGGCCCCAAGAGGGGCCCAAGAGGGGGGACACGAACCGATAATTCGAGTTTTCCGCCCCAAGAGGCTCCCAAGAGAGCCCAAGATGCTCCTTAGAGGCCCCCTCAAGGCCCCAGGAGGCCCCAAAGAGGCCCAAAAAGAGGCCCCAAGAACACCCCAACGAGGCATCCAGAACTGCTTTCAAGAGCCCTGGAGGCCTCCCACACATTACAAACGAACCCAGGCACAGTGGCGGGATGGGCCGAAGGCCACTATATGGTCCAAGACGGCCTCCAGGCGGCCCAAGAGGCCCCCAAGATACCCAAGAGGTTTCCAAGAGGTCTCCCAACAGAGCTCCAGGAGCCAACAAAAACATATATGTTTCCACAGGTGTTTGAACAATTTCGGCGTTTCCGCCTGTTCTGCTTCCCGACGCTACAAAACGACCCAAGAGGCTCCGAGGATCACCCCGAGACGGCCCGACAGGCTTCAAAAGCGCCCCAAGACGGCCCAACAAGCTTTTAAAGCGCCGAAGAGACGTCCAAGACGGGCCGAGAGGGCCCCAACCGCGGCCTAGGATCGGGAACTTGAGCCGGGAACTTGAGATCTTCGCCCCAGGAGACCCCCAGGAGGCTTCAAGAGGTCCCCAAGAAGCCCCAAAGAGACCCAAAAAAGCCCCGAGAGAGGCCCCGAGGGCACCTCTTCGGCTTCCTCCACCCTCTCCAACACCTCCTCCTCCTCCTCCTCCTCCTCCTCCTCATCCTCCTCTTCCTCCTCCTCCTTCTCCTCCTCCTCCTCCTCCTTCTCCTCCTCCTCCTCCTCCTCCTCCTCCCCTAGAGAAGCCCTTCACCTCCCTTTCTACTCCCGCTTCCCGCGGCTACGTCCAGCTGCGGCGAATAAAAGCGCCCCCGAAGTGCCTTTTGGGCCTGTCTTACGCCGTCGCCGGTGGAGCGTAGGAAGTCTTGGAAGCCACTTGGGCCGTGTTCGTGGTTCTTGGAAGCCCAACAAAGAAGTGTCATGGAATAGAGATCCCCAAGAGTTCCACCATTCATCCGAGCTAGGACTTGGGCGCAATAGGTATAATATGCATATATAAATATTGTTCCAGGTAGAATATGCCAGGCGCATACAATATACCAATATATAATACAGAGGACGGCCTACGATATATATATATATATATGAAAAAACAAATATGGTTATAGGTTCTACCTAGAACCACGCAACATATATATATATATGTGTATATAACACCGAGCAAAGAGATCTGTATAAGCCTGAGAAACGCTCCACTTCGTGCCTCGAGGGACGGTGGCGAATCGTGTGAGATATCATTCGTGTTTTTGTCAAAAACACTGTTTGCATTTAGGGACTGAGATTTCTGGAATAAGGAGCTGGGTTAGTGTGGGTCTGGCGGCTACGTTGCCGCCGTCGTCGCCCCGTCGCCGCCCCGTCGCCGCCTCGTCGCCGCCCGTCGTCTGGGCGTGGTTGTCTGTCTGGCGGCCATGTTGTCGCCGTCGCCGCCCCGTCGCTCGTTCGTCGACGCCCGCCGTCTGGGCCTGGTTGTCGGTTTGGCGGCTGTGTTGTTACCGTCGCCGCCCAGTCGCTTTGCACCACATCAGCTGCTCCACATAGTTCGTGCGACCTGTATTCCTTTGCTCCCAACCATCATGTGGTGTTGGATCCTCGTTTTGAAGAGAGAGCGCCCCGCGTCCCTCCCGCCTCCTCCTCCTCCTCCTCCCTCCTTCTTCCCATCCTTGCTTCTGCTCTCCGCATGCGCATCCCATTTCGGCGCACCCCTCACAGGTTTCGTGGCCCCATAGGGAGCTCCACCGAAGGCCCCAGTGGCAGCGGTCGCATGCGGTTCCACCCTCATTGCGGCACACCCCTCACAGGGTTCGTGGCCCCATAGGGAGCTCCATTGAAGGTCCCAGTGGCAGCGTTCGCATGCAGTTCCACCCTCATTTCGGCGCACCCCTCACAGGGTTCGTGGCCCCACAGGGAGCTCCATTGAAGGCCCCAGAGGCAGCATTCGCATGCAGTTCCACCCTCATTTCGGCGCACCCCTCACAGGGTTCGTGGCCCCACAGGGAGCTCCACCGAAGGCCCCAGTGGCAGCGTTCGCATGCAGTTCCACCCGCATTTCGGCGAACCCCTCACAGGGTTCGTGGCCCCATAGGGAGCTCCACCGAAGGCCCTAGTGGCAGCGTTCGCATGCAGTTCCACCCTCATGTCGGCGCACCCTCAAAAGGGTCGTGGCCCCACAGGGAGCTCCACCGAAGAAAGTACTCACAAGTGCGGCACTTACAACTGCATATGGTTGGGTCCTTCGCCAGGCTAATGTCTGAAAGATTATTTGGATCTCCCCCCGCAGTTAACTGCACCCCCGATTCGTTTTGCCATTTACATACAATTCTCGCCCATCGCCCATCCGAAATCTGAATTCATTCCATCCCACGCAGACCGGTATCGATTCCCCCCCTCATCCTCCACCAAGGAAAATATGCGCGCAAATTCTTGTATCGGAAATCATCAGTTTTCAAGAGCCCCTTGCAAACAACAACGGGACTAACATCACGCGCGCGTCGTCGCGCGTGCATGCCGAACTCGCTCAATAATGTTAGATGTCGTAAGGATGTCACAATACGTGAACATATACATGTATATATGTATATGCGTATGTTTGTTCATGTATGTTTTGAATTGAGAACTAACTACCCAGAAATGAATGAACAAGTGATATGTACGTAGATACATCGATTACCTGTGACGTACCCAACCCCAGTTGCACCAATTGACAAGAGCAGCTGGCCCAAGCTCGTCAGGAAAATGACAGTGCAGGCGCCGTTATATGTTGTGCAAGCTATATTGGATGCGCCCACGTGGCACGATTCACAGGACACCAACAGAAGGACGAGGAGCGAAGGCCCAGATTTGAGGAGGACATGGGGGCGGGAACGAAGGGCAGGAGAAGGTCGCGTGTGGGGCCGACCCGTCAGCGCGGGATCAGCAGAGGGACGGTGGCTCGGGGCAGGACGACGACGAAGATGACGGGAGAAGACTGAAGAGTGTTGCTTTTGTCGGTAGTACGCTAAAGGTGGAGCGCTGCTTGCGCCATGTCGCCGCGGCGCTCGACAACATGATTTACCCTGCGCGCATTTCTGCGCAAGCGAGCGAGGCCTAGCTCGCCCGCAAACTTCATCCTTCTTGCACTTCTCAGTGCGGGGGCTAAACGCTCGAAGGCGCGCCGCCAGGTCTGCGGGCGGCCCGCGACAGCGCCCCGCTGGATCCCCCAGCAAATCTCGAAAGTGGCGAGAGCATCGCACATCGCAGCCCCACACGAATGGCGAGGTCTACTTTGAGTTTGCGCGGGACATCACTCCGCTGGACCCCCCGGCAGTCCTCGAATGTGGCGATCGCTTCGCAGATCGCATCCCCATCGGGATGACGAGGTCTAGTGTGAATCTGAGTGGGACGTCGCTCCGTTGGACCCCCCAAGCAGCCTTCGAAAGTGGCGATAGTTTCGCACACTGCAGCCCCACAGGGATGGCGAGGTCTAGTATGAATCTGCGTGGGGCGTAACCCCGCTGGGCCCCCAGCTACCCTCGAAAGTGTCGACAGCTTCGCGGATCGCAGCCCCACAGGTACGGCGAGGTCTAGTCTGAATCAGCGTGGGACGTCACTCCGCTGGGCTCCCCAGCAGCCCTAGAAAGTGGCGACATGTTCGCGGACCGCAGCCCCACAGGTACGGCGAGGTCTAATCTGAATCGGCGTGGGACGTCACTCCGCTGGGCTCCCCAGCAGCCTTTTGAAAGTGGCGATAATTTCGCAGATCGCAGCCTCGCAGGGATGGCGATGTCGAGTCTGAGTTTGCGTGGGACATCACCCCGCTGGACCCCCAGCAACCGTCGAAAGTGGCGATAGTTTCGCACATCGCAGCCCTCAGGGCTTCGGGCTTGCATAGGACGTCATTCCGCTGGACCCCCCAGCAGCTTTCGAAAGTAGCGACCGTTTTGCACATCGCAGCCCCCCAGGGATGGCGAGATAGATGCAAGAGGGATGGGACGATAAGAGGGCCCGGAGGAGGGAGGTCGAGACCGCAGTGCTTTATTCAAAACGAGTGCCCAACGCAGGAGGGTTGGGACTCAGTACGTGTGTATATATATATATATATATATATGTACACCCGCATGTAGTTCGTAGCCACTTTGGTTCAAGCCACTGTGGACCAACACACCTTTCCATTCCTTACGCTCCATCTGAAATCTTCTCAGTATGCAGGTCAGCGTGGTTGCCAAGAACACCTTCGTCCATGTTACAAGCAGAGAGGAGCAAGACTTCGCAGATGCAGGTCTGCCCCGTTGCAGCTCGTGCCCTTCTCTCGTCGCTTCCCGTGCGACCTCCCCAGAGTGTGCACACAGCGAGGGCCCTACTGTCACGCCGCTCTCCAATCTCGGCTCTTGGGCCGACCTCGACTCCGACTCCGAGGACGAACGTCACCCCGCCTGCTTCACATCGGCGGTGCTCAACGGCTACGCCTTCACGGACGCAGTCAACCCTACCACCACATGGGGCGACAAGGCACCCGCACCAGGGGCGCCCGGGGGAGCGCGGCCGCCGGAATGCGTGCGCACGCCTCTGAGCCGCAGTGCCTCCGCCTTCGTCCCGAGCAGCTCTCTCCACGACAAGGCTCCGGCATTCCGCCCTTGGCCCGGGCAGGCGGTGAGCGACGCGTCGGACTCGCTGGTTCATGGCGTCCAGTGGCAGGTCAGCGGCACCGTAACGGGTATTCACTAGCGGGTATTTTGGAAACTTGCCGAAAGTTGCCTTCTTTCTAGGCCTTCGTTCTGGCATTGCAGCGTTGCCCACATCGGGGAAGATTAGGTTCGCCGGGTCACTGGCCAAAGTACCCGTCAGTGGAGTTCCCGTTAGAGGGGCCCTGAGCAGGGAGCGATTGGGACCCACGCGAACACCACCGTGGTGATCCGCGGTCTGCCACACGGCTCCACACGTGAGGGCGTGCTCAAGATTTTGAACAAGGAAGGGTTTGCAGGGCTTTACACTTTCTTGTACATGCCCATGGACTTCGAGACCAACATGTGCATGGGCTATGTCTTCGTGAACCTGACTGATGAGGAGCAGGCGCAGAACTTGATCGCCACGTTCGACGGGCGTCCCCACCATCAGGCGACTTACAAATGCTGCAGCGCGGAGCTGTCCCGCACGCAGGGCCTGGCGGCGAACATCGAGCGTTACCGGAACAGCCCCGTGATGGGCAGCGAGGTCCCGGATTGCTTCAAGCCCGTGCTGTTCGCGGGCGGACAGCGGGTGCCCTTCCCGGAGCCGACCCGGTGTCTGCCCGAAATCGTGCGGCGAGCGAGGCCGCAGTAGGCGCTCTCGGTGCGGTGGCCACGCAGGCCGCCCGTGGTGTCTCCCAGGGGCGCAGGGGCATCGAGCCGGCGGGTCTCTTCGGCGCCCTCCGTCGGGCCACGGTCGGGTGGATTCTCGGCGGACCTCCCCCCCTCTGCCTTGCCCCAGAGGGGGGCCCCTCTCCCCCCTTCCACGTTCGCCTTGTCATGAGCCTCGCAGCCGCACTGCAGGCGCCTGCATTCCCGGGGGCCACGGCGCCCCCACCCGATCGCGCGGCTCCCGGGGCCCAGGCGCTGGCCTCCATCATCAGCATTATCATCATCATCATCAGCAGCAGCATCAGCAGCAGCGTCAGCATCATCAGCAGCAGCAGCATCAGCATCAGCAGCATCAGCAGCATCATCATCATCATCATCATCATCATCATCATCATCATCATCACCATCATCTGCAGCAGCAGCATCAGCATCATAATCATCAGCATCATCATCAGCGGCAGCAACAGTATCAGCATCAGCATCAGCATCATCATCATCATCAGCAGCAGCATCAGAAGCATCAGCATTATCAGCAGCATCAGCAGCATCATCACCATCATCAGCATCATCAGCATCATCATCAGCTCCGCGTGGTGCTTCCATCGATCATTCCATCCTCCTTCTCGGGCCGCGCAAGCGGGCAGCTTGCGCTGCGCGCGGCGCGCGAGCCTGCGCAGCAGGCACATAGCCCGCTCCCCTCACGGCATCGCCGTCTCGAGCCGCCCGTGCAGTCGTTATTTTCCACCTCTGGCGCCACCCCGCAGGCTTGGTCTTGCGAGCTCGTTGTACTCG